GTATGGGATAGTTACATGAACTATGTTAGGGTCAGAGTGAAGCTGGGGTCATTGAATATATCGAGCCAAGTCTGCTAACCACTTAGTAACCTTTGTAACTACATAGTAAGCACAGCGGTAGGGTATATTTGAATGGGGTACTTGAATGTATCAAACCATTTCATACATTGGATGATCTGGCTGTGGCAACACAAGTGTGAGTTCTGCAGCTGTTCCGAATATCATGTGCACATCCTACTTACAAACATATGGTGCATTCCTTGACATTCGCCACCTCCCCCAGCCCAAGTTCTGACTTGCTCTTGGGCAGTGTGGATCGTGTGGCGTGTCCTTTTACATTTCGTGTCGCACCCATCCGGCTGGAACATGGGATCGTGGATCCAGCCGAGTGATGATCTCATTGCTTTAATTGAAATTTCAAAGTGATAAAAGACGTACCAGGACTCTCCAAAGGGTGCCCGAATGGAATCCTATAGGTAGTGTAGTCCATTGAACACCCCTTGGAGGGTCCAGGTGTGCCGACGTGACGCCCCAGGTGCAACGGAGGGCACAACGGACGGGCGCCCTGGAGGGACGAAGGCGCCAGGCTGCGGAAAAGTCCCACAAACAGATGCGCAAAAAGAAGGGTGAAACACCTGGGTGAGACCTGAAAACGTTCTTCCCCTCCTTAGTTGTTAGAATTGATTAGAAGCCCGAAAGGCCCTTGATGCCACACCTGCCCAAAACCAATTGGGGTTTGATGGGTTTTGTGTCCTCAAAACGAAACTAAACACTACACTGACTGTTTGTCAGCGGAATCAGTCATTTCGGGCTGCACGCCCATCCAAGCATTACACCACCCAGCGTGGCTTAGAACCCCAAGTCAATCCGAATTGCATTTTTCATTATCCAAATCCCTGCACGGAGTGTGAGTATGAGCATGGATGAAATCAACATGGGCCCCCTGGCAGCCAGCCCAGAGTGATGCGAATACTCGGCAGCCCCTCCTGCTTCAACGCGAAATGCTCCGAACCCAGCGGTGTCCATCGGTGTCGAGAGTGGAGCAACATCAGCGGAGTGCCGATGTTGAAGACAAGGACCCCTCGGAACCGAAGAATGTGACGCACGACGCACCTAGATTGGTTTAGGTAGATGATTTAGCCATGTCAGTGTGATCGTTTGGAGGGTTCTATGGATTGAGCTCTCAGCTGCTGTTCTTGATTCTTGATTATTGATCAAATCATCTTCAATCATCAGAGTCATCGTTAAGTACTTCTTAAGATTCTTGTATTGTGTCTTCTTGAAGTATGCTTACTCTTCCCTGCAACACTAAACCAGCTTCCAACCCCTCTGTGGAAGTGGGTTCTGCAGTTCACAACGCCGTTGGCTCAGCCCAAGCAATGCACTCAAGTCAAGGCTGCTGAACCCTTGCTCTACTATGTTCTACTCACAGGTGACTGTAGCAGCTTCCGTGTCACATGTCTCCTTTGCTCAATTTCTGCCATCCAACCATGCCTCCGAGCCAAGTGCTCGTCCAGGACCAGGCGAAGTCTGTTTTTTCTCCACGCGTCTCTGGTGCGTGGCAAAATGCTCAACCAGGACTCAACCACTCCGTGAAACTGGGCGAGATACCGACATGGATCCTGCAACAACCACCCCAACTGAACGATCACTATGCCATAATTTGTCACATACTGTCACTGATTGATCAATGGCACAGTACATGCCATCAACCTTAAGCCTGGAAGGTGCCCTGGAAGACTTGCTTCAATATGTTTCAACTGTGAAGACATGTGAAGACCGACCAGGAGTCTGGAGAGTGATGCCAGGAGTCTTTGAGTTTCTGGAATGGGAACTCTCAGCAGCATGGAACCGCAAGGCTCAAGGTCGCTGCTGCTTTGGACACCTGCGGTTCAGTAGTAAATTCCATACAAATCAAGGGAGCTACAGGGCTCAAAGAAGACCTGAGGACTGGACCAAGAAAAGTTATAATGTACACCCTCGCAAACTAACATGGAACATGAAAGAGCGAGTCTTAGAAGAACCTGCTCTTCCCACGGCCTACTTTCAGGTTCTATGATGTTCTGTCAAGTCTGCTTTGGGTGGAAGCCTTTTCCACCAGCTCACCAGCTCAGGGGCCAGAAGAATACCACAAGGTCATGCAGCGACTGAATCATGGTCACACCAGGCACACCATCTCCTTACGGTGGATGGAAGCCAATGTTTGTGTTTGTGTGTGTTACGGCGCACCATGGGGGCATGATGTCTATAGCTTGCAGCTGGTGGGGAGACATTTCTGGTAAAACGAAACCATACCAGGACCATCCTGTCTGTGTCCTGTTGGAGATCTGGTTTGGTAGTGTAGTCATGTGTAGTCCAGCCAGGACACCCCGAAAACGGATGGTCCTGTACAATAATGAATCTATCACATGGATTCCTCCATCCCCTACCTCTGACCTCTGACCGTCTCTACGGGCGAACGCTGGTGACTCAGCTCAGGTCGTGGGGACCCCAGCGGACCGAAAAAGGAAGAGAAGCAACGACCCCCCCACTGGGGAGGTCCGGGCTCCGGGCCAAGCAGGCTTGGACTCATCCAGGTTTGGCCGTCACACTGGCTACGCCCACCATGTCTGGGACCTCCCAGCGCAGCGAACTGCAGAGTGCCGCCATCCGGAGCTCCTGCGCAGGGTCCGCAGGCAGAGCGACTTTCATGGACGATAGGGGTCGAAAGTCGAAATACTCCTTTAAAGGGTTTGGTCCTTTTTTGCACCATGGTTCCTGCCAAATTGCAAGCAGTTGAAACTGGCATTGTTTTTTGGTCGATTTGCTCGGGAATCCGAGATTTGCTTACAACAAGTTCATCGTCCAATCATCCACTGATTCTGAAGTTGACTGGCAACTTGACTTCACAAGAAAATGGGTGCCCTAAGCGACCAAAAAATAGAGTAATGCTTGGAGGAGCTGAATCCACAAGAATTAAGAGCGTGGTCTTGAACTTCAGGGGGTTGGTATGCAAATGGTGGCAACCCTAAACGTCGTGATACTTGCGACTGTGACTATCATTGGTACCCCATGTGCCCGTGGCGCCTTGCGCAAACCATATTGGATCCCGAAATCCTTCACCACACGTCCTCCACGACATGTTCGCACCTTTTCTTCGACATCTTCGGGAGCTGGTCGGGTTGGAGGGAGGCAGGTTAGAGGGCCCTGTGACATGACTGGTGTTGAAAGAGGAATCCTTGGGGCGGGGTCGTCATCTATCAAAGGCAATGGGGTTCTTGAAGCCGCTTTCTTCGATCCTCGTTTTGATGGTCTTTCACGGTCCATCACAATGCCCCGGACATCGGAACCAACAGACTTAGGAACCAAGTGAGTAATCGGGAGGGCTGTTGTTATGAAAAAACATGGCTTGTCATAAAGAGACACAAACAATGAAACAATTAAAGTAAGTCATCAACAGTCACAAAGCATCCACACCACCCCTGAGTCAGGTGTTGCAGAGATGATAAGAGTGGTTTTGGGGGTTCTTTGGATTTCTTCTGTTCGCATCAGCCTTCTCTTTGAGCCGGGCAGCGGTTGTTCACGGAGCGGCTCGGCTTTCGCTGTGTCCAGCCTCTTCTTGCGTCTTCCGTTCGCTGTCCATATATACCGTCATAGTCATATGAAGCAAAATCCGCAGGAGAGAAGGGAAATCGTCCTGAAAGAAATATTTGGCATTTCTGTGCAGTACAATTAGCTAGGGATGTGGGAGGTACTTGTGTATTATGTGTCAGTGTATTGATCCAACCCGGCCAGGTCTGGAAAACCAGCATCACCTTGGGTGATGCTGGCGCGACCAGGAAGCTCGATTCGGTGTACTTCAGAACCTTCCTCTTCCACGCTCACTTCAAAGCAAACTGGTCCAGGTAGGAATGCGAAATGTTTGACATGTGGAGCAAGTGGAGCAACAAGCAGAAAAACCGTTTCTAGGAGGAGCAGGAACAAAACGGTCCCTGGCCCTAATACTTGCAAACCGTTGCCGCCCAACGGGCCTCAAAAGCGGTGGGGACATCATTGAATGTCCGGATTCTAAAGACAAACATGTGGGTTTTGATGCAGTGAATGGCTTGCCTTCTGTCAGTGAAAATCAGCAGAACATCCAAGGGTTCATGAAATCCTACCGAATCGCACCTCCGTTCGCCCTCCCAACCGTTGGCGCGTGTTGACGCGCCGCTGGGGAGGGGGAGGGTCTGGCTGGGGAGTGCGGATGACCCAGCAGTGAACCAGCTCTGAGGCTTTGCAAATTTGGATGGGTATTGCAGGGTTTCTTCGACATAAATAAACTATTTGTTTTTATAGATGAAAAGGCAGGAACTGATGGAATTTGCACAGTTGAAAGATCTAGGTATACACCTTCGGACATGGTGGATCCACAGAATTGTGACTTTTGATAGTTATTCAAAAACTGTATGTTCAGCAATCGCTGAGCTGCAAGTGTGAGCGCTTGAGTCTTCTTCCACGAAGTTCTTCCTTGGGACTCTCTATCACTCCCCTTCGCACCCATCAAAAATGCCGCTGCGGCCCTCATGACTGCCAGGAGCTAGCAGCGTCTGCACTAAACTGCCAAGAAAAAAGGCACATGACCAAGGCTCTTCCATACTCCATAGAGTCTTGGAGCTTGAAACACAAAACACGAGACTCTTGGTACCAAAACAAAAAATAGAGTCGACATAGAGCCTTGAATGAGTCCCAGCCTGGAAAAAACAGCAGTTGGTGAAAACAAAAGATCCTGACTCGCTGCAAGAAGGCCTAGGTCTATAGGACCCCTAGGACCCTAAGGATTGCATCCAACATGTACCGCCGGATATATTGCACAAATCATCTTGATTCACCATTAGCAAGGTGCTTTCAAACATTAGATGGATGTGTTATTTTTTGGGTGGAATACTTGCCCTAATGATTTAACTGACTTTTTTTATGTTTCGAAGAACTCACTGACCGCTACCTAGCTAGCAAATTAGGAAATTTGTCTTTAACAATTTCTGAGGCAGTTGATCTGCGCGGCTGCTATGTCGGCCTCGTCACATCTCGCGACGTGCTGTACATCCAGCCGAGCGGTGTTCTGCGGGAAGCTCACTTGGCCCAATTTTCGGCCAGCTGGTCGAACTGAGTATATGGCGGACACCTGAGTATAGAGCACGGATGAGCTGAGTGGGGCAGGCAGCTAGAGGTCGGGAACAGCAAAAAGTCAAAAAGTGAAAGACCTAAGATGCCAAAGGTGAAGCAATCGGCTGGGAACTGGGAGCTGCAGGGAGCAATCGCCCATACGATTCGTCCAAAGAGTGTTGCATGGCCTGGGCCTTCTCATCCCTGTGGCACCACGTTGGGCTCAAAGACTTGTCGCAAAAAGAACCAAGCAGTCGTTAGGAACTGGCTGGAGATTTGGTCAAGAAGAACAAGGCCAAAGGGGGGGCCTCAGAGAGTTGTTTTCCTGCAGGTTGCAGCTGCACGATCGTTGAGATTGTGACCCTTGTGCGCTTTCTTCGCATCGATGTCCCAAACACAACCGATGGGACTGGCATATTTGCTTTGGGGTGGGGTGGGTTCAGGGGTCGAGTCAATGTATATATGTTTGATGCGTGTCTGGGGTTCAATTTCTGGACTCCAACATGCTCATTCTTGTTGCTCCCAAAACTACATGGCTAGGCCTGGCCCCAATTCCAAGGGCCCCCCTGATTCCAACGATTGGCCGTTCCGCCATGTCACCGGTACTTTTCCCTCTCCATCCGAAGCATCGTCGAAACGCCGCACCAAGGCACTGCGGCCCAGGTGTCGCCCCGCGCGGCATCCGCGGCAAAGCACCATGGGCACTGCGTGGACGGAGACGACTCCGGGCAGACTTGCGCGGCGAAGTGCTGGTGGCCTCACCGGTGAGGGGGAGCTTGCACACTGGGAGAGGGGGTTCCAAGTGCAAAGGGGGGTGAAGGCTTTAGGTATGTCAAGGCTAGTATCTCTTGATCAGAAATGGAAGTTCAACGTGCTGCCAAAGAACAGTTTTTAGGTTCAATCGGTGCTCCCCCAAGAAACAAACACAGTCTTGATACTAGAATCAGCACTTGGAAAGCGTTCGGAGTGACTACCTTGCAAGGATGCTCTCAACACCTCCCTATACATGGGAATCCAATCATGGAGATATCGATCCGTTTGTGATTCTTCTTCAACACCTCTTAACATCTTCCAAACGGATCAACACTCCTCTAGGATGGGACCCCCTAATTAGGGTGAATCAACCACTTAAGTGACTTCTACCTGGACCCTCCTTTTGGGGTGTCCTGGCTGGACTACCCCACACTACCTGACTACCTATAGGCTATAGGCTTCCAAACAGGGCACCCCACGGTGGAGAAGGTCCTGGTATGACCTTCTTGTGCTCCCAAAACCCGCCGCTGTTTCGCCATATCGCCTTTGGACGACAGGTCGTCTCGTAGTGCCCTGGCCCTGGTGAAGGTCGATCCCCAAAGGGCGACCTGCGGAGTCGAGTCTCTTCAGAAAAGGCTGGCACAAAGCGTGTTCTATGCGTTCGAACGGAGGAGTCTAGGAGGCTATAGGAGGTCATCCATGCCAAATGCAGCCACCCCGACCACCATTCTCTTTGCCGAAACCATCGACCGACATCGCTCGACCCGATGACCTCCGCACCGCGGAGCTCGCTTGCCACGGCCGCGCGGAGGACCCGCCCAGCGCGTCGCGCGTGGCCGGGCGCGGGGACGCCGCGGGGTCGACCGGCGGGGGTGCCGGGCGTCGAACGGTGTAGTCACCTGGGAAGTGAAAGGATATGGGGAGGCGCTGGCGAGGAGCCTTTTTTGGAAGGGTGGGTGTGAAAAGGAAGGCCCATTTTTGGGCTAAGTATGGTATATTTATTTATCCAAAAATAATCCAAAATCCATGAACATCAAAGATTTTGAATACCAGGTCAGCCTTTTTTCTATTGGTTGTGGCATGTTGTGGCTGACGGGTCCCCTTTGCTCCTTCTCTCTCCAGCGGGCACAGCAGGAAATCATGTTTCTAGTTGATGAACGATCATGCCAAACTCGTCTGCACCTCTTCCCACTGGCCAGTAAGCTTTCTTGGGCCTCTTATTTTTGGCATCAACTCAGTATACCGTTGACTTTGGTGGGTGCAATGCTGAACATCTGCGTCCACACTTCTGACGGCGGTGCACCATGTTTCTTTCCACCTTACACTCCTCAAAAAGAGTAGACCCCACATGACCCCACTCAACCCACCATCATCTCAGGAGGTAAGGAATGAGGACTCCAGACCAAAAAGAAAAAAAACAAAAAACAACACAAAAACTAAGCTAAACTCCTTGGTTTAACTGTAGCTTGACCGTTCGTTGTATCCAGCTGCTCTCATTGTCCTACTTGCGCTGCCAGGCGTCTCGGTCCAGGCGTCTCGGCGACATCATGGCTGCCTTAGGCACGCTGGTTCGGGGTTCGCCGACCGGGGCGAGTCACCAACAAAGGTGGAAGAACCCTTATACTTCGGCTATCCCAGTTGGGTACCCCAAGTTACGGCCCTAGTTCATAGTTCGGGTCACTTAACTTACCTCAACTCACCACAACTACAACATCGACATCTTTCCGAGATCAACATCTTGATTTCGACCAACGGCGGGGGCAAATTGGGACGGCGGCGTTCAGAGGCGGGAATCCGGTCCGGTCATGTAGGAGTAGCAACTGAAGTAGCATGATGTAGCGTGTAGGCGCTGGAACGCTCAAGCTGAGCAACCACACCCGACCCGGCCAGGTCTCCGAAACCTGCAAACGGGTCGGAAAGTGAAACCCCTAACTGCCGTGAGCCGTGTGCTAACCGCCGGTGAGTGCGAAAGCCCTCTACAATCAGGGGATTCTCCACTTCCATATACTTCCAGGATGTTCCACAGGAAGATATACAGTAAATTCTCCCTGATTCTGATCACACGATCGGCAGGTTTGTAGACCATGATGCTTTGCGCCATCCGGCCACCGGAGGGAGGGGTCGCATAAGTGGCCCAGAAGAACTCGTTCTTGCCGCCGAGGCTATACCTTGCGAGACCAGGTCGATGGTCCACCCGGCGCCGGGCTATACCAACCGGCGAAGCGGCGAACGACATGAAAGTGGATGGCCCAACCATGTGTCTGTACAGGAAAGGAGGCTTCGTCACTTCTCAGGCCATCCCCTTCCATGTTACACATGTGATGTTCGTTGATGTTCTTCGTCAAAGGAGGTCAAAGAGTATACCTTCTCTAAATCATTTGGTGCGGCGATGTATCGCCTCTCCCTCTTTGAGGACAGCTCGGGTGCTGAGATCTTGGAGCAACTCAAAGCTGGCGAAGCTGTAAGAACCTCAAGGCTTCTTGACGTAGATGTCAATGACACAGCGCAATCCAGTGCAAACCAAGCAACTGAAACGAATATTGTCTCCCACACCACGTCTAGCTCTCAGGAATCTGGATACCCTATCATGTATAGTGTATGAATGGCCACCAATTCTAGGATTATATTTAAGTGGTTTGTGAATGAGCTTCAAACTGGAGATTGGCCTCAAGTGCAGGATAAACGTGGATCCTGGATTATTATGTAATACGGTGACCACAAAACATTTAGATCGAGAAGCAACTTCCCTGCAATAATGATTGGATTGGAGATCGTTCTCTATTTGGGCCTCTTTCTTCACCCTGGCTGCCGGAGCACGTCCAAATTTATTAAACAATACCTTGATATCTTTTGACCATTTAAAGTTTAAATAAGCTCCAAACAAACGAGTTGACTATAGTTACTATAGTTGACTTGTATCCACTGTACTGCCCAAACGCTCTGTTCACAGCCCTTAGCTGCTCAAAACTGCAGGGTTTGGTTCGACCCCAAGCCCTCCGAGCCATTCGAGGTTGCCTATGAATCCACGGATTCACTCCTTTGAAGGTGAGCAGGGAACACTCCTGCGATTTCCGGTGCCAGGAGGGTCCACAGGGTCCAGTAGCGAACCCTGAGAAGGTGGATCCGTGGATCGATGTAGGGTTTCAGCCCAGGTGTTCCCAGTCTGCAAACCCAGGACTGAAGCAACATCTCCGGTTGCTCGCATCGGCATGTGGATGATCCGCCAGTTCCCGGCGTCAAGTGCAGTTTCCTCCCGGACGACCGGACTTCCTTCGCCGCGGACGGGATCCCTCGACCTGGGTGGCTTCGTCCAACGCACAACTCGGTGGACTCGGTTCGGTTCTTTCGCATGTCCCGGCGGCGCGGGGTAGCGCGGATGCTCCACGTCGATGTCCAAGGTCACTTTCCCCGGGCCCGGAGTGTCGGGGATCTCCTGAGGCCGCTGTGGCGAAGCAGGAGATCCAAGCGATGGACTGTTCATACCCACAAAGCTAACATGGAACCTGAACATGGACCGGTGGTCTCAACGTTTGATTCCGAATGCAACCCAGTGAGTGGTTTTGGGTTTCCATGTCATTATCAATCTGCAGGGGAGTATTTGATACATCCAAAAGATCCAAGACTCGTTAAAATTGTAGCGTAAAAAATTGAAACAACTGTTTATTTTTTTGGAAACACGATGTTTGTTAATTTGCCAAATTATTGTAATTCATTCTGAATATATACAATCTCCGGCCTAATTGACCGTGTAACAGGATCGATCGGGTGTTGATTCGGTTGTGATCATGCATGCCACTTCTTTGGTCAGGTGACAATTTGGAGACAGCTGTTTCTGAGGTGGCCATTTGCTCTGTCATATTACAGTATATAGGATATCACATCACTTAATAAGGTATCTTGAGATGGTTTACTAGCACCATGTATTCTGAGAATTTATCAATATGATTTTGCGCTTAGTGCTGCAGGAGAACCGGCCATTTTCATTCCCAAGTTCTCACATGTACAAGTTGAAATTGAGGTCTCAGATTCTCTACGGCTCCAAATACCTCCAGTTCAAAGGTTGGGCTGGAGTGTTATGTTAAGGGTACTTGAAGCTATGCCTGGACAATCGTGTTGCGTTCAAATTGCATTCATGTCGTGCTCGCTTTGCAATTCAAATGTCTTTTGCACAGCCAAAGCCGTTCGACTATTGTCGACCATTCTCACACTCCCAAGTGTTTCTTGCCAAAGAAGTGATCATATCAACAACACATTGTGGGGAGCCAAACAGCAGCCACTTCAGATCCCACTGAAAAATAAAGTTTGGTTGACTGGCGTTTGATCAACCAAAGCGCACGGTCAGCATCTCTTTCTTTTTTCAGTCACACCTCCCAAGCTGATTGAGGTTTCTTGCACATCCTCTTCACCAAGGTCAAACACAAATGAACTTGACAACTGTGGCGACTGTGATCCCATCTGAAACACTCGAAACGGACGTCAAAAGCTCCGAAACAACACCCACCTTCCGTAGACCAACTCCGGCAACACCTCCCACTTCACCGAACACCTCACACCTCACACCTCAAAGGGCCCGTTCTGAATCGCGTTGCACCCAAACGGACGCTTTTTGAAACGAAACACCTCAAAAGGGTCCCAAGGGTCGCTGCAGTCGGTGGGACTCTCCACCCAATGGAAACTCGTTTGCAACACTCTCTGGGATACATTTGGATACATTTGGTGGTCGAAATGCATGTGACGGTACATGTCATGTCATATTAGCCTGACATCTCCATGTATCCCTATACACCAATGACAGGACCTATAGGACTGTCTGGTGCCAGAATAGGTGACGAGACCCACACCAAATACGATCCCAATGCGCATCGCGTGGCACCAAACAGAATCCGAACCCATACCAGGACCATTGGACTGTCTGGGTGTCCAATGGACCACCGAAAACACGAAAACAGGGCTCTCCAAACAGGGCATCCAAACAGCATGGTCCAGGTACCAGCACCTTCCAACAGGTCACCACCTGCGACTTTTAAGTCTACAAAAGCCTCCAAAGGAGACCTATTGGAAGGTGCTGGTATATGATTTTCTATGCCTTGGGTCTATCCTATTACCAGTGAGAGTGGATGATGATGGTTAGGTTGCAGGCCTTTCCATCGCTTAATCTAGTGATTTGCTTGTGAAACCCGACGGCTCGACAGGTTTACCGGGACAAACCCAAGGACTTCAAATCTTCCGTTCAGAGCCTTGGGTCCCTCAAAAGATTGGTGAGAAACCCCTTCGACCCCTCCGCATGAGATCATTTCCGACCCCCTGACCTCCTGATCATATGTGATTCGAGTCCCAAACAGATATGACAATACCTGACCCAAACAGTTGGGGATGAAACAGGCGGTTGAGGCCAGATTCGAGTCTAACAGTTGAGGCCCCGAAAGTCCGACCGCCACGGACAGGGTTTGTTCTCCACCGAGGCTCAAACTTGAACTGCCGTACCGCACGCCCAAAGGACCGCGGTCGCTGCTTCACCGGCGCCTCCCGGCGCAGCGAGGAAAGCGCGCCCTCTTTGCCGCGCCGGAGATCCGGGGGGAACGGAACCTGCCCCGAAGCTACAGCGAATAGAACTCAGGTAGCTAAAGCTACCGTTCATGAAACAACGTGGTGTATCCCCCTTTACTATACATAGAGGTGAGGGTCAAACGATGTGTATGAGTCGTGCTGCTCGGTTTGCCAAAAATAGACCATTGCATGCAAGCACCTGTCGGCAAGCGTTTGAACAAGGTCATTACATCCTTGATCAGCCTTCCAAAATGTAGCCTTGCTCTAGGTGCCACCAACGGCGTCAACTGATCAACCCGAATCAACCCTGGCCCTCACGGCGATTCGCCAAACAGCGTGCAAACTTATCATGTAACACTGTAGACTACCTCCATATGTATGAAAAGGTTGTTCAATCCATGTCCGGGGGAGGGTTCATCCAGAAACGACACGTAGCAAAAGGTCGGGCGACCGCCGGGCCGCCTGCTTGCTGTAGAGGTCGGGCGATGCGCCAGCGGTTTGAGGCCAGTAGTCGTGAGGCAAATGATTCCACTCCTGAGTCGGGCGTCCTTGACACTCCATGGAGAGTTAGATGGCACGATCTGCAAGTTAGGTGGTTTATGTGGATCCCGGATCCCCTAAAATACGGCGTGCTGCCATCGAACCTCACCACTGCTAAGTGGATGGCACCCCGTAAGGATGACCATCCTCCACAAACAGGTGGTGAACTCCGCTTCCAAGATTCATTTCATCTACCAGGACCTGACACTGTGGGGTGCCCTGGAATAGGAAGCCGAACGGCCGGATCCGTGTGGGGTAGTCCAGCCAGGACACCCCGAGGGTCGGAGGGTCCAGGTAGTGTACTCCAGCGGGGTCTAGCTTTCTTGTTCATTCTTTTTCCATCCTGCCTCCGTGGGCTCCGTCGAGAGACGGGACTGGGGTGTGGGGTGTGCAAGATGGAAAGTACATGCTGTTCCTTGAAAGGGGTTCACCAGAAGGGAGAAAAACAATACATGCATAAAAGAACAAACCGGCAAACCTATATATATTGGCCATCAATCAAGCAATCGCGAGTGTCTTTGGACCTCTCTAACCAATCCATCTGATAATGTCTGATACTAAACCAAGTGTTTTCGCCAGAATGCATTCTATATGTGCAGGATTCTTGGAACTGTTGTCCACCCCCCGACACCCGTTTCCTGCAGGATTATTGTCACATTTGGTTCTTTTTTGAGGGACTTTCCCAATACAAACCATGCCCGCAACATCCAAACCCAACAAGTTAATTTGAGTCAGGAGCCCTTATATACAACATATACTATAATAGTTACTAAGTTACTATGGTGCCTCATGCCTTGTATGGGACGTCAATGCAACAAAATAAGTACCTGGAGTTCGGTGTCAATGCTCGCTCTCTCGGTGGGTGTTGTTCCCCTCAAGTCGACCAGTTGCTCCAGGATCCAAGGATCCAACATGTCGACTCCATGTATGGCATGACACATGGACTCTCTTTGAAACTCTCCGGGGTGGTGTCCAAACTCCGTCATAAGCCATGCTCTCAAGGTTGTAAGTTTTTGAAGCCCCCATGTGAACTGGGTGTTCTTCCTTGGACTCCTTTGGCCTGGTGGTGGGATTGTGTGCATTCTAGATGTCCAAAGACTACATGTCACCCCACCAAAATTTCCCTGAAGTTAAAGGAAGCTCTTGAGCCAAAGCCACCTAAAGACTAAAAACATCTAAAAAAACATTCTTGCAAAAACAACATATACCAGCACCTTCAAAAGGACTCTCCTGGCTGGAATACCCTGAACCTGCTTGTGGATCGACAGGACACCCCGATGCATGGACGGGTTGGTCGGTCACCCGGCCAGGCAACCCGGTCGCCGCTGCCGAAGCCCCACGAAGGTTGGAGTCCCTGAGGATGACGGAGGTGTACATCTGGATCCCACATCCGAAACACCACGGATCTTTGCAGAACATTCGTATATCACCAGCTATAGAAATGCAGTCCCCAGCTATAGAAATGCCAGGCCACATGCTGTGACATGTGTTTTGGGGGAGTAGGTGTCAAAAGGTGTGTTTCCGCCTTGATTGAGTCTGTTGGCGCCGATCCTTCTTCGACCCAAAACACAAATGACGTTCCAATCTCATGGAGTGTGTGGGTTTTACCAGGAGCCTTCCCAACAAGTCAATGCAGCCTCCGGACCGATTCTGCGTCGGGTGCTGGTATGACAGATTCTATTACACTCCCTGAAACAATCATGGCTACGTGGATGGCATGGCCCGCTGTTGGATGACCATTTCCGGAAAACAACCGGTGGTTCATGAACTGCACTTCGTTGGTTCCGAGGGTCGACTCATGCTGTCACATATTCTCACATACTGTAACATGGACCTTGAGAATTGACCCGTGTGGTCTCAACGGTTTTCCTCGATACAAACCCATGCTATTTGGCTATTCGGGGTTCCATGTTCATATCCCAAATACTCCATGGGACCGCCATAGGACTGCCGATCAGTTGGAGTCATTTGTGGGGTCAACGGGGGCGGCAGTCCTATGCCAGTCCCATGGAGTATTTGGGTATATATATATATATATAGATGAACTCAATCCATCTAAATCCTGATTCTCAGCTTGGGAGTGTTTGGGTATATATAGATGAACTAAACCCTGACTCTCAGCTTGGGAGTTTCTCTGCTCCTCATCCTCATTCCCTTTCCCGACGACAAACGTCGCGCCCGACGTTCATTAATTTGGGCAGGAAGAAGCCGAGCGATGTGAAGCCGAGTGACGTTTTCGACCCAAAACCAGCGGTCTAAGGTGCGGGTCTTCAGTGTCTACCCGTCGACGAAGTGATAACTTATACTGATACTTAATTTATCCACAAGCCGTTCTTCACAACGCAGAACTTCTCTCAAGCCCACCTTGCTCTTGCTTGGGCTGTATCTGCCAGGGCCAGGTGAGGTCTCCTGGATGCGGAGACTGAGGGAGGGAGCATCATCTCTCAAAACACCTGTCACATTGCGGTCTCGTCTGCGGTCAATGGTGAAAACAACACACCAGCACAATCCCACCTGCAAGAAGCATTAAATACCTGGACCCGGCGACGAGTGTCGGACGTCGATCCATCCGTCTGAAGGCTCTTCGGACATACCTACCCGCTGATCGGTGGCTGTCTGGAGATCGTCTCACATCTTGCTGCCTTGGCCGCTCCCCTCACCCCCCAACAGTTGCACACTCATGGGGGTGGGTGTCTTCCTAACAGTTGGGGGATGGATGTGGTTGTTTACTCACTTCGCTATCCACATCGACATCCACATCCCATCCATGCAAAAACAGCATTTCACATCCCATCCGCATCTCCTGCTCGCCCGCGAAGCGCTGCCCAGTCTTCCGCGGACTCCAGCTGGGTGCGGGGCCCAGAACCCAGCGTGGCGCGGTGCCGTGCTCAGAGAAGTGCCTCGTGGCGCCAGCAGCTGGGGATAGGTGTGTGCCGTGCTCGAATGAGTCGTCCATAGCCAAACACTCCATGGGACTGCCAGTTGTGCTTACATTGACCCCGCGAACTACCCCAAGGTAGGGTAAATATGGCATACGTACTGGCATACATAGAGTATCTGGGATATGATGTTCGGAGAGATTTGAGGAGTCCAACAAACATGCACACATATGGAGTTAAGAACATATTTGGAGATATGTTTGATATGAGTGGAAAATGTGCCAGGACTCATGAAGCATGGATCTCTCTTGAAGGTGGTTCCAGGTTTTTGGAGTCCACGTCCAGTTTTCAGCTGGTGAAGAAAAAAACATGCTCAGTCCTGCACACAAACACCATACCAAAACAGAACAAAGGATCTTTGCAGTGTTTGTTGCAGGGCTGGCTTTGATGGTCCAAGTGTGCTTGTTGGAGCTCCCACACTTAGACATCTGGCGCGCAGTACCAGCGTGAAGGAGAGAACATTCACGGAACCCAGATCGGTGCAGCACACCCTCTGCCAGGAGAAGCAGTGAGACATATAGTGAGTCAGTTCAGCGAAACAAACAAATTTTTTACTTCTCAGTGTAGATAGAAAGTTTCTGACCATTTCTGGCCCAAATCTCATTGGAAGGTTAGTTGGTACCCCAAAATGCTAGTGCTTCTAGCTGAGTCCAAAGAGTATCATACATTAAGGCACACAAGTGGAGGTGACTTAAAACGGCATTCGTTTCACACTCTGCTCATACGACAGTCACGAAGCTTCTGCTGAGGCACGTGAGCACCCGGACACGAGGGCTTTCGCTACCCATTGCTCATGGCCCGTGGGTGGAATCGAAGCGATCTGGTGAATCGATGCAGACATGACATGTTGCATTGTGGGGCAAACGATGATCAACATTCAGGTTCTAATTGACCTTCAATCACTTAAACCATCCCCGAAACTTTGGAGACTCAAGGTACTTGACCTTCAATCACCTAAACCATCTTAAACCCTCCTTGATCTTGGCCATATCTGCAAAATACGATGCCCTAGGAAAATCAGCAGCCCGGGCACCGCACCGGTTTGGGATCTTCTTCAAAGGGTCTTCCGACCCGACCGTTCTGGGGGGGGGTTCCCAGGTACCTGTCTAAGGAGTTCGCCGACCCCTGAGGTCTTCTGGCCTAAGTGCTAGTTGGTGTTCAAGTGCTGATGAGGAACTTCAACTAGAAGACTGAAGAGGCATTTAGTTCGCCAACTTACTTTGTGTCCTTCAGTCTTCCTCTAGATTCCTTCAGTCAGAACCACGAGCCTCGCATAGATCCGGAGCACAGTTCATCGAAGGTCTGCACAAATTCCTGTTGAAGAAGTGCTGTACACATTTATCCTTTTTCAAGGAGTTGGAATCGAAGGTCTCTATTCACACTTGCTCTGACAACCAAACCAAAGCCACTCCCTTCTAGCAAAGGAGCATCTTGGTCCAACCACCATCCAGTGGCATCAAAGAAAACAACACAATCTCTGGGTGACTGGGGAGTCAAACCACATCGCAAGAAAGACCAAAAAAACAGCCGCCCCCGCCGGTGGAACATACCTCCGCAGCGCCTTTTTTCCCGCCTTTTTTGGGGGACAACTCCTGCGGTCTGACCCCAGCCGCGCCGCTCTTCAGCGCGGTGTCCCGGGAAGTCAAACGGAGTGCATTTGCTTGGCGTTCCGCGCGCGCCAGAGTCGAGAAAGGATCCTCGTGCGCGGCGAGCGGCTCGACCAACAAAAACAAACTGAGGAGGAGTGAGAGGAGCAGCGATCCATGGATGGGAGTCCATTTGATGAACTATATCCAATCATGAATCTTGTAATATAAAAACCCAGACTACTAGAAAAGGGCGAATTTAAGATGTTTAACGTGTTTTAAGTAATCAATTATCAGGCATATCATATCTTCCAGCCATCGCAGCGTTGGAGTGTGTGGAGTAGTTATAGGTTATCCAGTTCGTACAATACCACAACTTGGCCGCCCCAGCATTTCATTCTCACAAATCCCTAAATCAACAGCTCTGACGAAACTGAAGGGCCCCGATTGTTTTTTCATGGTTTTTCTAGGTGTTTCTCCCTTGAGAAATTGCGGGATTCCTGCCAGAAAGCCTTGTCAAGGTTCACCAGGTGGACTGAGGGCCTTCTACCAACCTGGCAGGCAGGGCCCCTCCAACAAACACCCTCACATAGAACTCGTTGCTCTTCTGTCCAAAGTGTCCACGGCATTGGACTAGTCGACAAGGGAAAAGGATTGAAAGCTGCTTTTCTCGGCCACGGTCATATCGCCGCAAGGCAGTTAAGACAGTTCGTTGTCGTTGTCCGCTGATCTTGCACATGTCTGCAAAGAAGAGGTGGGATGAAAGGCCCCTAAATGAAAGGCGCCACACTACTGAGTCTGCCCCTACACAAGTTTATTCAGTACAACAAAACAAACATGTGTTGTACTGGGCCTCACTCGCCATCCAGCCAGTTGCTCTTTGTTGCCGGAGTTCCTTGTTTAGTTACTGGGATCCCCTGCAAACATCCAGTCCTCTGTCCTTCCACCTGCACGACTATACATCTTATTACATCTACTTTGAAGCCCGGGCATTCAGGCGAATCTGCTGTCAGGGAGAGGCCTTGAAGCGCTTAATTCGTATGTAGAAAGCAGGAACTCCGGACCGCATCGACTCCAGGGATAGACCGGAAGAAACCCCAGAATCATAGGAGAATCACCACATCTCCTTCCTCAGCCGGTGTCAAGCCACATGAGGCAAAGAATGCCCATCAGCAAGCCAAACATGCCCGACTGGACGAGAGACCTCAGCTTTTCGCTCCATCCAAGGGGGCTCCGTGACCGTTTCTCGCACGTTCCGAAACACCGTCGAGACGCCGTCCGCTTCCCGGTGGCGGTGGCAGGCATCGCAAAAACAAATAGCCAGCAGTCACAGTTAGGGGTGCTATCCATGGAGATTAGGAGTGCCCAGCTACTCCACTCACTGGATGGGACTAAACACCACTCGCCACTCCTTTGTGACTCCTGGAGATTGAATTTTAATGTAATCCTTTTGAACGCTGGGATGGTCAAGATCTTCAAGTGCTCCTGAAAGGATTGCACTTGAACCTGCTGTGCGTGTGTCGTGCATCTCATGACAGCGGAACGTGCGATGTCTGTGGATCCATGTCGTCACGTCGGTGTCTCCGGGCGTCTGTTCTCCTTGCCGCCTCACCAAGGCGCCCCAAAAGACCGCACAGTAACGAACAGTGAATGACTCAGGGAAAGGCGTAAACCAAATTGGAAAAAATGGACGAGAAGGAACAAAGATCTGCGGAAGTGTGGTATTGGTGCTGCCCAAACACTCCATGTATGCAATAGTTAGACATTTACCATCATTTTAATTTTACCTCATTATGTACCTATTCCATACCAGGGTCATCCAATGGGTGTCCATTAGACTACCCTACCCCACTTACAGGTCTCCATTGGACACCCATTGGAAGTGCTAGCTACATTATATAGATGATCTGGTAATTTTTATGTCTTCGCTTGTGTCCAGCCGTCCGACGCTACACGCATGATGGAACCTGGATCTACCATATCGGTGGCAGCGATGGTCCATCGCCCTTGGTGTCCACACCACCCAGGTTGGATGCTTATTGAATGAGGGAACCACTCGTGACGGAGGTGTCTTTCAACCACCCTGCTGCCCTGCTGCATCGGCCTCTCGTTCAGCCATCCCGCTGCTCCCGCGTCCATGCGTTGAAGACTTAGAAGACCTTGCCCAGGGCGCGGCTCCTGCAGGCTTTGGTGTCCACCAGCCAGAGATCAGGTTCGTCTTCAGTTTCAACAAAGAACGCTGCTCCAAGTCAGCCATATTCATATATATGTTTTATCGCTTACAATATATGACATATAATATAGAATATATGGTCAGTTCCCCCAATGACAAAACATGAGTGTCGTTTTCAGCAAAAGCATAATACCTACAATGAAAAAGGACACAATATTTGGGAAGTCTCGAGGGACAGGTATATAGAAAACTCTGGGTGATTTTGAGGAGGCTGCAAGAAGTTTCAAGTGACAAGACTACCACAAGACAAACAAAAGGTAGTTGTTGGAGACGAACACTCAGACTTTTTCTTTCTTTGTGTGTGTTTTAATTGTTGTTAAATGCCAACAGGTGTCATTGTTTAAGACAATATGTTGAACACATGTGCTGGAATGGGGGTTCAATATCATCAATTCGCGTGTGTCCTTGAACCCTCCTTTCAGTGATCTTTTGCAACATGTTATATAAACATGTTCATCATTCATGCACAGCTCCCCCTTCATAAAGTAGGCTATCCCATCACTTTCCTTTGATCCCATCCTACTTTTTTGATCTTTCTGGATCTTTCTGGTATATTTTGTTGGCCCCCTTCCATCTGAAAGTCCAGCCTTTCAGTAAGGGTCCCACCCTTCGCAAAACAACATCTGCCATTCCCAAATCTCGTTCTGTGCCTTCTTTTGGGGTGTTCCTTCTTTGTTTTGCTTCTTCTTTTCAATTTTCTCTTCGAATCACGCCATGCAACGCTGTTCTTAAGTGCCCCAACGCTCCCCAGGAGATTGCACCCAAAGGCTGGTGATATTCTGTTCAAACTGGGCCGGTTGGACTGCCAAAACTCTTTCGGAAGCCGAGTCTTCGTGGAACTGGGCCGTGACAAACTCCCTGACACGGAGACCTCCGCCAGTTCCGCTGGGCTTGGCACATCCGGCAGCTCCTGGTGGACGCTCTTGGCACCAACAGGAGATCAAATTTGGACAAGTCGAAAAGTTGGGTAGACAAAAGTGACTGGACAATACTGGACAGTCTTTTTTCGAGCAAACCCCCATTGTCTGTCCAGAAACGGCACATGTTGATTTGCACTGAGGGCGCGTCAGCAAGGTTTTAGTAATCTGGTCATGGGCCAAGAATGCAACAATGGTAACAGGATGGCTGGACTTGGAGCCCCACATGCGAAGTTGCAAATAGAAATCACTGGAAAGGGATGGAAAGGGTGTGAGAGATGTGGACGCGGTTGCAAAGCACAATGAGGCGGGATGTGTTCTCCTTCCATCTGAAAGTCCAGCCTTTCAGTATGGGTCCCACCCTTCGCAAAACAAATATCTGCCATTCCCAAATCTCGTTCTGTGCCTCCTTTTGTGGTTTTCCTTCTTTGTTTTGCTTTTTCTTTTCAATTTTCTCTTCGAATCACGCCATGCAACGCTGTTCTTAAGTGCCCCAACGCTCCTCAGGAGATTGCACCCAAAGGCCCAAAGGCTGGTGATATTCCGTTCAATCTGGGCCGGTTGGACTGCCAAAACTCTTTCGGAAGCCGAGTCTTCGTGGAACTGGGCCGTGACAAACTCCCCACTCCGCCAGCGAACTCGTGACAGGGAGACCTCCGCCAGTTCCGCTGAGCTTGGCACATCCGGCAGCTCCTGGTGGCCGCTCTTGGCACCAACAGGAGATCAAATTTGGACAAGTCAAAAAGTTGGGTAGACAAAAGTGACTGGACAATACTGGACAGTCTTTTTTGAGCGAACCCCCATTGTCTGTCCAGAAACGACACATGTTGATTTGCACCGAGGGCCCGTCAGCCAAGGTTTTAGTAATCTGGTCATGGGCCAAGAATGCAACAATGGCAACAGGATGGCTGGACTTGGAGCCCCACATGTGAAGTTGGAAAAAAAGTCACTGGAAACGGATGGAAAGATTGGAAAGGGTGTGAGATGGGGACGCGGTTGCAAAGCACAATGAGGCGGGATGTGTTCTCCTTCCATCTGAAAGTCCAGCCTTTCAGTATGGGTCCCACCCTTCGCAAACAAATATCTGCCATTCCCAAATCTCGTTCTGTGCCTGCTTTTGTGGTTTTCCTTCTTTGTTTTGCTTCTTCTTTTCAATTTTCTCTTCGAATCACGCAATGCAACGCTGTTCTTAAGTGCCCCAACGCTCCCCAGGAGATTGCACCCAAAGGCCCAAAGGCTGGTGATATTCCGTTCAATCTGGGCCGGTTGGACTGCCAAAACTCTTTCGGAAGCCGAGTCTTCGTGGAACTGGGCCGTGACAAACTCCCCACTCCGCCAGCGAACTCGTGACACGGAGACCTCCGCCAGTTCCGCTGAGCTTGGCACATCCGGCAGCTCCTGGTGGCCGCTCTTGGCACCAACAGGAGATCAAATTTTGTCAAGTCGAAAAGTTGGGTAGACAAAAGTGACTGGACAGTCTTGAAGAGAGCGAACTCCCATTTAGTCTATCCACTATGATGACACATGTTAATTTGCACTGAGGGCGCGTCAGCAAGGTTTTAGTAATCTGGTCATGGGCCAAGAATGCAACAATGGCAACAGGATGGCTGGACTTGGAGCCCCACATGCGATGTTGAAAAAAACACTGGAAAGGGATGGAAAGGGTGTGAGAAGGGGACGCGGTTCATTGAATGAGGCGGGATGTGTTCTCTGACGAAGAGGTTTGGTGTATGATTACTGTATGAATGGTACTGATGGTATGTATGTTACTGAATGGTATGAATGGTACTGAATGGTATGATTACTGTTCTCTGTATGATGGTGTATGTACTTGGGGGAGTGCTGAACTGATGCTTGTAGTTCCACCTAAAGGTGGTTCCACCTGGAGGAGTTCTTAAACCAACGTCCGAAGTGGCTCTTGGATGGTGCCCAAGCAGTGTCGTATACGGTCTTATATATATTATATATATACTGTATATACTCATGTAATCTATACGATCTATATACTTAATGGTCAGACTTGCTGAGAGTTTGGGGAACCTGCCTCAGGTGGTGGACCTCATGTCTTCTTCAGCTACATCCGGAGTCTCCACCCCCGTGCTCCGCTGCAGGGTGAGCCTGCTCCACCTTGACCTCAGTCGCGTGCGCCGGGTCCGTTTGGGGGGTCGAAGGAGCCTGCAGCCTGACTAGACAAAGGGCCATGGCTCTGGTAAAGCATGATAAACAGAACACAAAGCTCGTAGAAAGGAAGGCCTAAGGATGTTCCAATATTTTCGCTTTTGCGGGTTCATATTTATAGTCCTACTCACATAGCCTATTAGATCCTATTCCAACAGCAGGAGGGTTGAACATGGTTGAACAGTTCACACATTGGAGAAGCCGTTAGACTAAGTTGCCAAAAGGCTTTGATACAAGATGTCCAAAGCCGTGCCGAAGCACAAACCAACACTCGAAACCATAGCTGTTGAATTGGTCGAACCCTACTTTCGGTCAAACCAAAAAAAAGGCCCGACCCAACCCATCCTCGCCGGAATTCGCCGGACTCTCCCGACCCCATGACCCTGCCTCCTGCCAAGGCATCGAAGGGGCCTCACCGCCGCTCCACGGCGAAGCTACGCGGCGAAGCGCGGCGCCACCAGTGTTTCACGAGAGAAGCTGAAGGGCAGGGCGCTGCACCTGGTGAGCTTCCTCGTGGAAAACCCCTAGGCTTGGAGGTCTTCTGGGTTCGCAGTAATTCCTAAAGTATCAGAAAATTTGGTTGGTTTGATCTTACCAAGGCCTGAGCAAAGCCGAGTGAAATCGGACACCCAGGGAGGATGGCAGGATCCTTCAGAACTTCACTTTTTTTGTCCGGCGAGTTCCTGAAGTGGCCCGCACAAATACTTGAAGTCCTCCTTTGAATGACGTCCCACTTCGCCCATCTCGGCACATGACAGCAGCCTTTCCTCCCCCCTACCAGTAACACCTCTCCCGGTGCTCCAGATCCCCGCGTGCCACTCTCCTCCGCGCGCAAACCATGCCCAACCACGCCAACCGCTTTGCCTGAATCTCGCTGGGCACTTGCCGCTCAGCCAAGTCCTGGGCAGCTTCAAGGCTGGTATACCTCGGGCTCGGCCCCCACCACCCACCGCGCGACCGAGACAACAGCGACCGAAGACTTCGAGAACAGGAGGAGGAGGAGGAGGAGGGTGAGGCAAACGCCACATGGATTGCTGTACGGAACACTATAATCGAACGATCCATTCTGAAGAACACAAACAAACAACATATTATTCTGCAGTGACCAACCATTGGTGAAGTGCTGCTTGTGCAGTGTGAGAAAGAGAAAGACATGTTTACTACTTTGTTTAAAACTCTTTCCCCCCGTAAATCGCCCAAAAACCACCCCCCCGCCGCGCCACGAGAAAAAATGCAATCCTGGTTTCGTCGCCCAGTCACGAGATGTAGCCCATGGAGGTGGCAAACTCGAAGAGCTTCATGTTCTCCTAAGAGCCAACCCGATTGACACATAAACAAACAGCGCCAATGGCTGCATGACATGAGGTTCGGTCTGGTGGGGTCTAAGATCAGGGTGAGAAGCCATGGCTCTGATCGAGACAATCACTTGGTGGCCGCATCAGGTGCATTTTGGGAGTCGAGCCTGCACAGGCTCTGCATGGAGTTGGCACCGGCGCCGCTCCAATGGCCGGATCAGTAAGTCCTGTTGCCTACTAACACACGCACAGGTCGGTCACTGTAGGTCCGTCCTTGACCGGTTGACCTATCTTGACCTCTTCCGTGTCCAGACGGCGACGCGGACAGACCGTCGCCGTCGGTCTGAGCGGGTCCGCTTCAGTCCGAGCGGCGAAGCGGCGCAGCAACGGAAGCCTCGGTCGGCGCGGCGCGACGCGAAGGGACGGGAGCGAGGCGCCGGGGGAGAAAAAGGGCGAAACAGAACAGCTTGGAACAGCGAAACTCGGTCGAATCATTGTGGGTGTTACTTACTACCCCGCCGCGCAAACACGCATGGAAGTGAAGTTCATACCTGGATTGTAGGGGATTGAAACCTATGAGGGGCCATTGCCATGCCACTTCGATGTGTATGTTCCTTGTAGCTATCCCAAACACACTGGGAAGATTTGACTGAGCGGTTCAGGGTGGCTGAGGAATTCAAGGGGTCTTCAATCTCGGTGAACATTCCATGTCGGTCCATGTTGGGGTACCATACCTATCAATCCGCCGACCCATACCTGCCCACCAGGTTCTTACAGACCTGGTGGAAGACCGTTAAATTCGTCAAGGTGGTTGGTGGAGCACTTCCTGCCCCTGCGAGTTCTGTTGAACTTCATGCGTTGCTCCGAAAAATGGGCTGCACATGTTGGTGCACCCTCTGGTGCAACCTGTGCGGCTTTCGCAGGAGTGGATTTGCTTGGTACATCCCCGAAAAGGGCACACGCTCAGAATTCGAAGGATGTGGATTCAGGAGCTCCAAAAAGCCAAACAAAAACATCACCTCTACCCGCACCTTCCAAGAGGCATGGCGCCTTATTAGGACATGGCCATAGCCGGATCAGATAAAACAAATCGGCGCCCCATCGGTGCTCACCTGACCCACACGGTTATAGCCCAGCAACGGATGAAGACAAAAACAGAAAACAGTGGGAAAAAAAAAATGAAAAACGATTCAAACAGATTCGAAAGGATTCCACCCTTTTGATCGCCCAGCCACGGATAGGTCAAGTTCTCCTGCGCCTCCGTGGTGTTCCGCGACCCGAAGAAGCTCTTGGACTCCACGCGGTCGTGCCCACGGTCGTTCCCCTACCGGGTGGCACCGGAGCACCGGGTCGCGGGGCTGGGCCGTGTAAAGCTCCAAGGAAAAACACAAAAGATCACCAACTCCAATGGAATGATACATGGCGCCATGAATGATATGTATATGTAGTTCATGATACACATGTTCATGTAGAATCTCAGGTGAGTGTACACTTGAGAACAACATGTTTGCGTTACTTTGCTTCTGGCTATCAAGTCACCTTCTAATCATCTTCTGCTCACATTTTGTTTGCTTCGGCCAAAGCCTGCAATCTAAGATTGCTTTTGAGTGCCAACTCCTGAAACAAAGGTAGTTTTGTTTGACAACCCTCAGCAGTTGGCTGGACTCGCACTCCAACTCCAACTCTTAACATTGGACAAATAGTAGGTTGACAGTCCTGACGAATCGGATCATTTTCGGCTTAAACAATAAACATAAGGATCTGGGTTTGGACACAAGAAACGAATTTCCAGTCTTGGGTGCCACATGGTGCCACCAATTCTCCAAGAAGCCGGCAGACTATAAGCTTTAGCAAAAGACATCTACGGAGAAGACATCTACATCGGTGTCTTTGGCCTTCTCCTGAAGCTTGTCCATGGTCGACTGCTGCACGGCACAGTCCAACTTCTCCTTCGACACCTGGGACCGACAGGGGTCCCAATTCCAGCAGCATTGGGGGTCCGCCCCAGGTTGAAAGTGGTAAAACAACAAGCAGTTTTTTTTTTTAATTTCCGCAAGCCTACGTTCCCAAGCATGGAAAACCACCAAGAAACAACCGCAAAACAAACCAACAACATTTAAACAAAATGGGACAAACGACGACAAACGCCTTGGTTTGGGCGTTGATTGTTCTTTGAGATTCGACATCTGCGGTGGTTACTCTTCGTGGATTTGTAGGCTTTTCCAACATGTTCCTCACTCTTCCATTCCGGATGCTTGCGGGACCAGCAAGAACTTCCTGGATAGTGTGGCCTGCAAAACGAACGGTGCAAAACTGCCTGGACCTTCTTTCGCGGTGTCCTGTCTGGAGGTCCCGGATAGTAGTGGGCTGGGGCGAAACCAGCCAGGTGACCCCCTTGAAGGTGCTGGTGGTAAAACATGGTGAAAACCGTTCTCACTGGGCTTTGCTTACACCTGCGACTTGGCGAAACCATCCTGCGCACCTCCACTTGCAGGAACTGCAAGATCCGCTGCCTGGGCGGATCTCCGTCTGTCCGAAGGAGTTTGGTGTGTGATTTCTGGTGCACAGAAGACCCACGTTGACGGTGTGTGGATGGCGAACAGGGGATGTGAACTCCATGGGCATGTGACTGAGTAGATGATCCGACGCTCCGTTCAGCTCAACAGGTTCCTCAAAACCCTAGGGATTTGAGGGTCCGGACCCTCCAAAGGATTCGGGTCCGGCCCCTACTTAGTTCATGAGCGTCTGGGCTGATCATTTGGCAGGTCAAGACATGTCAGAACGCATCGACCGGGGATCCCTTCGTTTGAGAAACCACTGGTTTGCCGGTTTCAAATCTGGACACAAAAGCAGGGGGACCCATTGGGAGCCAACATGGAACTTCTCTCATTACTCAATGTCTCAGAACTACTCTCCCTGGAGCTAAGGAGTGGACGCCTCCCTGTTTGTGGAGGGAACATGATATTCCAAGGGACCATGCCATCCACATAACCATGACGACCCGTTCCAGGGAGCGCACTGTTAAAATGACCGTTCAGCTCCAGTGAGTGAGAGCTGAATACCTATCTCATTCATTCATCCTCCAGCTGAGAACTTCTCACAAGAATTTCGTAATACCCAGACACAACTAATGGGACTGCCATATATGCCGCCCCATTGACCCCCAAAACCACCCCAATGTAAGCATATATATATATGGCATACATGGAGTGTCTGGGATATTTGGGTTTCACTGAATGGGTTTTGAACATCAACCGGGGGCGGGGCTGCATGTGATACCTCCACTTGGTCCAGGTCACAACTGGAAGCAACATGCACGATAGTCAACAATGTAGAGTCCTAGGACATAATTGTTGATTAAAGAAGAGTATGGCCCTCTCACTTGGCGCCTGGCCGGGGCGATCCTATGTAATTTAAGTTACAGTAAATTAGCCGGATATTTGGAGGTTCTGGCAAGCTCATGAGATTCGAACCTGACCCAACTCACACAGGCCGCCACGACCTGACACTGCTCTCATCACCCGTTTCTTTCACTACCTGCGACTGTCTCAGTCGCGAACCAACGGCCGTCACCCGGCCGTCCAGGCCGTGGTGCCCATCGATCACCCCATGCCCGTGGGTGCATGCGCAAACAGGTCCTGCCAGGGGGCACTTCATAGGCTGGCTGCGCCTTCAAACGTTCGTAGTACACCAGCATCCCCTGGTTCCGCTCATGCAGTCGCGACGACCGGATCGTGCGCACGGCGACTGCGGTGACGGTGGTGTAGTTTCCACCGATTTGTTACCTTTGCCAAGTCTTTTTGGATCTATCTACAGGTGAACACGGGTGAACACTAGTGTGAACATGTGTGAACATGGGCCACTTCCATTTGGCTTCCTTGGTGCAAATCAGCAGGTGTTTTGTTCCAAGTGGAAAGGTTGACCCTTTTTTCAGCTACAAGGAATCAATATCTTTTTGGTTGGCTTGTCTCCCAAGGAAGATACCACAACCAACTACGTTCATCTAAATGCTTGACGAGGGTTTGTCATCTAGGCAACTGGACAAGACTTGTCACATTAATTCACATGACATAACTTAAACAAGGGAAATACATATACACAACTATATATATATATACAATACACCTGGTCTGCAAACAACATCCATACACTCCTTGTATGGCATATATGCCTACAACTATCCCTACATTGATCCCTCTTCAACCACCCGAATGCATGGGATATATAATTTCATCATAATATAGGTTCTCGTGTGTTTCTCATCGTGCAACTCCAAAACTCCTTTCGCGACTCGACTGGTTTCCGGCTCGGCCCGGCCCCCGGATTCATCCCATCATGAAGCCATGACTCTTGCCGACGCGCTTCCACCTGAGGAACTGAGCAGAACTGTGTGCATCAGGGATGTAAGGGGGGTACAGTACCGTAAAGATGGCACATAGCTGGAATAATTATGAGGATGAATAAGGGGAGGTCAAACTTCAAGAGTCTTGAATGTGCTTTTCTTTGAGGTTTGGTGTGAGGATCTCCTAGGAAGCTACTGAATCTACCACACTGAGCAACTGGAGGAACATGTTTGTCAGGATGCGGCCAACAAACTCTGAGAACAATAGAATGGGGGAGCCTCAGGAGCGTGTCTTTGTCCACGGTCCACGGGGTACGAGTGACTATAGAATCCCGGAGGCTCTACTTGAAACAACATGTTCCACACGTGCCTCCCCTTGTTGCCTTGTTTTCAACTCCTCTGGCACTATTCCAACGAACTTCTGAACTTCTGAAGAATGTGCAGGTGCTGTCGTCAGAAGTTGATGAATAGAACCGACCGACATATGTGTGGACAGTCTGACAGTTGATGAACATCACGACCGGGCTTCAATGGGGTGTTTGTACATGGCGGTTTGGTTTAATGGAGATCCCGATAGGAGCGGGCTGGGGCTTCCATGGGTGACCGCTTTGAGTGTGCTAGGATGGTGTTGATGAATTGTCCGCTTGACTGTTGATGAATAGAATAGAACCTCCCTCCTTTCCTGGATGGTGAAGCATCTTCGGGGGGCTTGATGACACTATCAACGCATGTAATGCATGAACCCCTTAATGCATGACGGGCCTGTAACCGGTATTGTCTAACTACCAGTCTAACCTGACTTCTGGGAGACCTTGCAATGGACAAAAGCACCCCGCCGTTGACGGCATCAGAATTCACGGCGTTCCGTGCGCTTCCGTGTCGACCAAGACACGAAGTCTCGCCAGCCGCGGTAGAAGTTCCTGGAGTCGAGGCTTAGGGGTTTTGCAGCTTCTGCAGAAGCCCATGGCGGACCTGCGAAATCAAGTCGGACCTGTGAACACAAGGGCTTGGTTCTTTAAACAGTATTGGGGATGGTTTCAGGATGTATAGACCCTGTCAAGCAGAACTGGTGGCTCAAATCCCAAAGGCTTCTGCATCAAAACCCTATATACTATGCACAGTGATCCCAGGCAAGTATCTTGATGCATGTTCAGCCCCCCTCACTTAGACTATCTTAAAAAAAGTTGGAACCCTCCATTCATCCACCATCCTCACCTGCAGCTCCCCCAAAAGGTTCCTGTATTTCGTCCGATCAAAGCTCCGAGGGAGTGGCACTGGGCACTGGGGATCACATAAAACCGTGCCAGGTCACATGTAGGCTTGTGCTCGTTCCCGTGCAAACCTAGCACTGACGGTCGTTTGTCAAAGCAGGGAATGATTGGACACCCAAGGGACTCCAGCTGCTGGGCAACAAGAATGTCCAGGTCACCTGTTTTACCCTGTTTTGTGGGAAAATGTAAGAATCACACAATGAAGTGAGCATTGGATATTGGAGCACAAAGCAAACTATCTCTTGGGTCCATTCAATACCCGAGAAGAACACTCGATCAGCATGCGCATGAGCAGGTTTTGTGTACACAGTGTATGCCCTGTAAGGCCATGCTTAACAATCCCTAGGGATGAAGTGCCACCTTTTAAAAGGTACGACTGGACCCTTCTAGCACCTACATCATAGAGTGTCCAATCACCTTCACAGGTGGCAGCGGATCCATAGGGAATAACAATGACACTAATTCATCTGCTGAACCTCGACAAGGTGTAGCTATTGCGTAGTAACATCTATTAATAGCTCAAAAGTAAAACAACAAAACACGTAGTAGTAGACGCTGAAAACCCTGTGCGAAAGTAAGGGGCGGGGGGCGTGTAGGTGACCATTCAACATAACGACAGCATCATGCCTTACCTGCTGGCTGTATCGTCTTGTTATGTGTTGTTGCACATCAGTCAAAAACATACCTGGTGTTATAAAAATATGTCATATGATAAGGCCAGAATCCTTGATTTTCTTTAAAACAAACTGTCAAACAAAAAGTCAACTGGAAAAGCCAAAGTCATAAAAAAACACCTGGAAAAGTGAAAAAAAAACATATGTCAAAAATAAGTCAAACATAGTTCACAACTCGAAAATATCAAAACCACGTAACAAAATAAAATAGAACAACACAAGTAAAAACTAATTCGGATCAGGGCCAATTGACTTTTGTTGCCTTTCTGAAACTGTCTGATTTGACTTTTTCTTGACTTTGACATTTGGGACTGACTACTAAGTTGACTTTTTTTGATTTCTTAAATTATGAAAACGGACTCTCTCCAATGAAAAAACTATAAACCTAGGACCTAGTGCTTTCAGGGGGTGCCCAGCCAGGAGACCACTGTCCTTTTTCCAAGTGTGGGGCAGCGTCCGCGTCCAGATCCACCTTCCCCAGTCGTTCGGAAGCGGGAAGCGACGCACCAAACCCAGCTGGTGGCCGGACGGGGACGCCGTTGTGCTACTCCGTGCAGCTAGGTCTGGGACGTCAGGTAGTCAGTCAGTCACCTGACTTGGAGCTCACAGCTTCCACCTTCCCCATGGAGCTTCTACCCCCCCAGTGGATCCTCCTGGTCGCCTCCAAAACAACGGGCCGAGGCACATGTGGTCCGCACGACTCCAAGTGCCGCTCTTCAAGGCGCCCAAGACCTACCGTCTTCGGACGGATGCCGCGAGTGAGATCGGAATCAGGACGGGATCGATCGGGGAGTCGATTGGTTGACAACTGACAACCAGTTGGATTTGCTTAAAGGTTGAGAGGAATCCGGAACATCACCCTTGACGGGGGAGTCACTAGAAGGACAATAGCATATCATCAGGTGGAGGCTAATCATGGACTTTGTAGCCTCTTTCACATGATGATGATGATGATGATGATGATGATGATGATGCTGATGGAGGGCACATAGAGGCCGAGAAATAGGTAGACAAACATATAAACTGAACATGGTCTACAAATACAACATCATTCTATAGAAATTTCGTTCTCAAGGACTCGAGTAACTCACCGTGTTCACCTTGACGTTTGTCAACCCAACTAATATATTACAATATATTGGCCTTCGATCTGCACTTCATGGTTCATTCGGCTCGTGGCCGTCCGATGCCCGTTGTCCGTCCGGGTCCTTCTTCCTTTGGCCTCGGTCGACCCGGACGAAGTCCTCCCGCCTTGGTTCGGTAGTGGTAGTTCGACCTGCGCCGTGCTGTCTGCGCGCCGTTTTGGGCGTCGTGCGTCGCGTGAGGTCTAGTTCGACTGCGGGGGTGCGAGGGTTCAGGCGAAGAGCCGAGCTCCGAAACGTGAACGGATGCTGCCTGAACAGCTGCATTCACAAAGAACCTCAGCTGTGAGGCTACATTCACAACCATGAACTATAATTCTCGTTGGGTTTGTCCGATCGAGGTGACGCTCTGCTCCTCTCTTGCCATCCAGTAGGAAGTCTCTAAAACGTCAGCTGACCTGTAGCTTAGCTTGTGCTGCTTTGGGATGGATCTATATCTTGTCATCTTGCATGTTCAGCAGTGAAAGGGTAGATGTGGATCGCACCTGTCCCCAGCACAACAGAACAGCCGCCGCTGCAACCAGCAAATGTACCAGTCTTGAAGAATTCCACCCCAACAACCTTCTCAGGAGGTGGTTGGAGCCCTGGGGACCAGTGGAGGGTTCTTTTTCTTTCCGACCTCCACGTGCCTTCCGCGCCTGAACACATCGAGTGGATCTCGAATCAGTACGACTGCTCGGTCATACCTGGGCTTGGGATTTGGCTGTTTGTTTTCAATGTTTTGACATGTCTTAACTTCTTGATCTGAACTTCAGAAGAACTCCGGATCCTAACTAAGTGTCCACCTCTTAATGCAATCCTCAGTAGGTAGTTGGACACTTGACTTATGGGCCTATCGTTCTTTTTCTGGGCGCATACTGTGGTTGAGTGGGCCAAATTGAGGAAGAACAACATCACGAATCACACATGGCAATTGGACATGAAGTAGCTGTTTCTGGGTCCCTCATGAGAGTGAAAAGCACAGAAGAAGGGTTAAGGTAGCTAATTGCTGTGGCTATCTCATCTTCTGGGTTTCACCTAGCTTACTATCCGCTTTTCTCCTATATATACCTGGGTCTCCACAGACCTTCCTTTTTGAATGCCTTTCAATAAAGCTGCGTTCTTGATGTCAAATCCTGCCTTTTCATGAAAAGGGCGTACTTTGCCATAGGGGCGTACTTTCAATGAAGGTCAACAAACCCTTGATCAACACAAGATGTTACCCTCAAAGTTGGTAGTGATGAAGGGGTAACCAACCTCCACTTCTGCCATCCTCCCCGCAGAAGGGCTGCAAGGGCTGCCCTTTTTTTGTTCCGGGCTGGCATCGATCTTCGATCCAGCATGCCAGGGGCCTCAGCCCGGCGGTTGGCAGGGATCTCTGGATGAAGTGAGCAAAGGGGAGTAAGAAGTAAGCATTTAACCTAAAGAAACAGAAACCCAATGATGGATTGATTGGATCAAGTGGCCAATCCAATCATGTTCACAAACTTCACTCCAGGAATCTTTTCCTCAAACAACCACAAACCAAAAAAAGGGAGAAGTGTAGGGTTGGTTTTGGTGGATTGTTGTATCCTTTCTCTTTCTCTTCCAAGAATACTCAACAGAATCTAAAGACCAATGACCTTGATTGGCTCATTCGGGGCTCAGCAACAACCAATTGTGCATGTTCTTTTCCAGTGCTTTTTGTGGCTTACTGCTCACTGATTTTGGTCACGCCGGTCTAGTCTAGTGCAATGGCTGAAGAGAGAAAGGCTAACATTGAAGGCCTTGGTGAAGAGTGGGAGCAAGTGGGCGAGGTTCGCAAAATGCTGCGATCATCGGGTTCCATCTTCAAACCAACAGCCCCAGGGGAGACTGTTTCCATCAATGTCAAGACAGCTTCAGTCAATGTCGATACGCTGCTTCCACTTTTGCAGCGCCTGGCTGATGAAGATGGGAATGTTCACATGGTTACCATTCCAGATCTGGAAGCTGAGCCACTTGGATTTGTCCATCTCTGACTTTTGGCTTTTTCACTAGTGTTGGTGTGGGCGTAGCACCTCTCAAACCCTTTCATGTCTCTCATCTCTCTAAGGCTGTGCCGACTTCATAGCCTGGTTGAGAAACCAGTGGACAAGGATTCGGTGAAGTTGGATGCATGGGTGGCAAAGAAGATGTGCATCCTGGTGAAGCGCAAGCTGCAGCGTGGCCAAGTTCCAAGGGAGCCTCGCTTCCGCTCTTTGATGTCGGCAGTCTTCCCTCAGCTGGACTGGGCTAACTCCAGCATACAAGAACCTTTTTCAACTAGAGTCGAATAGAGTATACAACTAAAGTAGTGGACAACCAGCCCTTTCCTTGTGGCCACCTGTGACCTGTCCATCACCTATGCAGGATGATGGAGATGAGCCAGCGCTGAAGCCTTTGGAGGATGGAAGGCCTGCGGAAAGCATAGTGGCTGCTGATACAAATGGGGATGAAGGCGCAGCTGGTGCTGCTGCATCTGCTCATGGTGGTGACTCTCTCGATGCTTTGATCATTCTTGACGATGACGATGACTTGGACTTGGAGGAGGAGGGTGGCAATGCAGCTGAGATGGGTACTGTTGCTCTGCCGCCAGCAGACTCCCAGCCGCTTTTTGAATGTGCCTCTACTGAACAACTGGCTCTGCGAGATGCTCCAGGTGGAGTTTCTGATGCTGCGCTGGAGGAGCTGGATGCCAATGTGCCAGAAGAGTCCTTGGCAAGCGTGCCTGAAGCAGAGTTGAACCCACAGCCTGAGGATGAACTCCAGCGGATGAGGGAACTGCAAGGGCATGTGAACAAGCTTCGCAAGCAGCGCTCAGCTCTGAAACTGGGTCGTTCAAATTACTGTAGCATGTTTGCACTTCTTTCCCTCACACCCTCCAAATATGGGGTCCCAGGACTTTGAATTTGTGATCACTTGTGGCATGCCCAGGATTGCTAGGCGTCCACACCTTGGCAGTCGGTCAATGAGCAGTGGCTCTCTGCAGGGCGTGATTGAAGTTGAGGAATCACTTCCCTTTGGCAGGGATGATATGGAAACATTGCCCATGACTCTGACAGAATCCGCCCTTCCTCCCTCTAAGGAGCACAAGTTCATGGAGCCCCATGAGCCTGTGGAGCAAAACCTCATGGAAAAATTCAACAAGGAAGTCGGACTGTTGGAAGAAGAGCCAAAAACTGACCTTGAGACTCTCCAAGATTTAAAATATGGTTTTGCCTTTTGTGTTGTGGATGTTGTCACAAGTCCAAGTCCAAGTCTTGAAGTCAGCCATGACTTTAGTTAAGGTGACCCGCCGCCAGCAGCTTGGACTCAAGCGTGAGATGGAGGCAAAGGGTGATGAGGAGGTTCCAGTAGAGAAGAAGAAGGGCAAAGGGAGAGGGCGAGGTAGGGGCAGGAAAGTGCAGGCCAATGTGGAGGTGGAGGCGCCAAAGCCTGAAGATGAGCCAGAGGCCTTGCATGATGCAAGTGTGGGTGGCAAAGGTTCCTTGCCGGAGCCCATGCCTGAAGCATCCAAGCCCAAGAAGCCCAGAAAGCCGAAGCAGAAGAAGGGGCAGGAGCCACAGGATGCAAATGCAAATGAGAGTAGTGCTCATGGACATCTTCTGGAGAAGACTGATGCCTCTGAACCACAGGCAATGGAAGCGGTTGAGGGTGAACCTCTGCATCCTGAAGCGGCACCTTCTGCAGCAGTGGCTCCTGGTGAAGGTGAGCAGGTGGAAGAAAGGAAGCGTCGTCGCCCCACCAAGAAGGTGGAGGAAAAGTCTTCGCCAAACACCAAGCTTCCAAAGCAAGTGCGCAAAAAGGCTGAGCCTCAGCAGCCACAGCGAAAGGGTGAAGAGGAGATCAAGCAGGGCGATGGTGGAGCAAAGTTGTCTGGCAATGGTCAGGCAGAGCCAGAGGCAGAGGCAGAAGAGCCAGCAGAGCCTTTGAGGAGCTTTGCCCGTCGTGTACGCCCCAAGTCCAAGGAAGATGCAATTGCAAGGTGGGACTCCATCCGGCAAGCCTTCAATGACTTCATTCGAACTCATACACCCTCAGCTTCCTCCCATGAGGCTGGGTTTCTTTGATTCCTAGCTGTCAATCAAGCTGTAAAAGCCACATATTCCAAGCTTCCTCCCATAGGCCTTGGTTTTGCTTTTGCTTGTGCCATCCCAGCCTTTCTCCTTTTGATATGATGCCAGGTTTCTTTTGCTGGCATTCGCTTGAGCCCCTACCCACCAGTATTTACAGGGGTCTAGGGTTGTGTGGTAATTACATGTGACTATGGTTCCTTTGGTCAACCACAGCTTGGTGGTTGGGAAGCCTGTCCAGGTACAGTTCTGGAACATGTGCGTGCAAAGCTGGAAGGGGAAGGACTTCGACCGTGACCGCTACATTGTTGAGGCCGAGTACTGTGCCCAGGAGTACTTGGAGAAGTTTGTGTAGCAGATCCATGATTAGTGAATAGGGTCCCTTGAGGATCCATGTAGTAGGCTATTTGATTTGGGCCACCCGCTGCCTACATCTCCCATGCAATGGCTACTTGAACATGATTTGGAACCCCCAACTGATGAAACAATTGTATAAACATGTATAAACACACGATTTTGATCTTTGTTTTCTGTATGGGTGTGGGTAATGGCCTGACGAAGGATTCCGAATGCCTGGGGACCTGGCATCATGGATTGTAGAGCTCGAGGCAACAGCGCATGTGTGGCCTTAGGGCTTGGCTGTGCGGACTTAAAGCTAAGGTCTTCAAAACCTTGTGCACTTGTCAAAAAAAGCTTTTGTTTCACTGTTGGGGTGCACAGTCTCAAAGCCATGGCCATTAACACGTGCCTCAAAGCTTGCTTCAAGATGAAAGAAAGAACTTGTGGGCTGCCTCATCCAATATCATCCTAAGTCACCCTCCCTGATGTGATTTTTCAAAGTCAAAGCTGATATTGCACACCATATGTCACCCTGCCACCCTGGGTTGGTGCCTATTGTTGTGGTGCCATGCCATGCTAAGGTCTCATGGCAATGGATGGAGGTTACGCCTCCAACGACAGCATCGCTGTCCTGCCATGTTTGTTTTTTGGGCATTCAGATTTGTTTTGGCTGATCGAGCGTTTGGACTGGACAGAGCAGCTACCCACTGGTGCACCACATAGGTTTTGTTTTGGCCCAAACCTCGTGACCTAGTGACTACTTGATCATGGTGCTTTGTCCAAGCCATGCAGAGAAGCTGGACAAAGTTCTGAGAAGGCTGCATGCAAATGGAGCCCCGAAGGTGGGCAGCCTCATTCCTGGATACAAGCCTTATAGTAGTGTTCGTTTTGGTGGTCATGGTGAACAACGTGTGAGCAACTTAAAAGGATGTCCATTAGCTCTGACCAAAATCACCTCTTGGATGCTCATGTGACTTAAATGTTGTTTTTAACTCACCTTTCAAGCGAGGTTGACAGGAGATAAACAATGTAGAGGTTTAAACAGGTTCCTCCTTGGTCCTTCTGTCCTGTTATCGTCTTTTGGTTGACTTGTGGTTCTGTGAAATTCTCTGAGTAGTTTTGATAGGTGATGGATGCACCTGCCAAAAACAACAGCATGTTTTGTGGTAAGGGTTCATAAGCACGGTGGTGTGCCCCCTGCCCTTCCCAACCTGAAACTGACGATCAAGCGGCCCTGGCTTCTCTGCCGTTGGTTCAACTAGCCTGGGCAGGTGCTTGCAGCTCTTGTCATCTTGCTGGTCCACTCCCAGAACATCATTGTCTTTGGAGAGGCCTTCTGTGGGGTTGATGCTATGAAATGTGTGTTCCAGAAAAATAAATAGAACCAACATCTCCAGGGGTTTCATGCTGCTTTTGCACTGGACTCATGAATGGTAGGTGGTAGACATGCTTTTCCAGTTTACTATATTATACCCCTCGGCCCACTTGGGTCTGGGGGCCTGTGCCTGACAGGCATACTCCTTTGTAGAGATCTTCAGTGGCGCTGGGTGGGTAGCCCGCTGTATGAGGACTGCAGGGCTGCCAACGGCTCAAATAGATCTATGCTTGTCGGAGGATGGTTTGCTGGGTGGTCCGAAGAATTACATGGATCTATTGACAGAGAGTGGTTTTGCGCTACTAAGTTGAAACAAGCTTTGGACATGGTGAACCCAGGTTCAATGTAACAGTCCATGCCCTATTCTCACATATCATGTGTTTTTGGCGTTGTTCACTTCTGGGAACTTATGGGTAGTGGCTGCCACATTGAACCCAAAATGTCTCTCCACAGTGAAGCTCAACACACAGCTCTTTGTAAGAATGTTGTTTGATGCATGTCTCCAACGTGAACCCCCTAGCCTAGGTTGGCTCTGTGTTGCATCTTGAATGCAAGAATGGACCAGTTTACATGCTTGATTGCATTGGTCTGTTCCTCGTTTGTTTCAATCAACAAGGGCACAAACAAACGCTATCCATTTTCACCCTATGGTGACATGAATGTACCATCAGTGGCTGATGGCAATATCCTGGCTAGCCGGTGCCCTGTGCCAGATTCAACAAATCTTTTTGGATTTATTGGGGCCCTGACATTGATATCCAGGTAGCCTTGGGGAAAGTGTGGTTGGAGTGACAGCCTGGACCCTCCCCGCTGAATCCTGTCAGATGCCAAGGTGCTGTTTGATGATGCACTTGGTGGCAGCTATGGGTGGTTGCTGGATCCTGGAGCAAAGCAGGTCTTCCACACTACCTTGGCTACCTTGTTTCAGGGAGATGATGCGAACACAAAAGAAGGCACATAATGTCTGATGCTGTTCACACAAACTAGATGCAAATGTGTTCATATGTTTCCACGACCTTTTCTAAACATAAATGCCCTGTAGGTGTATGTTGTGACCTGGTGGATGGGCTTGTACAAGGGATACTTTCCAAAACGCCACATAGCCTGGTCAAATTCACCCTCTGTGGCCAAGCTGGATCGTGGAAAACTATGCAAAGAACGACGTGCTGAATTGGCATCATTGGGTATGAAGACTACCAAAACATACAAGTCCGAGGGCAAAACCAAGTTTTCTGGATCAAAGCACTTACGAGAAACACAGTCTGGAACTAAGCCTCGGAGGTTCCCAGCTTTTTCTTACTTGTCCTATGTTTGCCGTCCCTCTTTCCAGCCGGTGCCAAGGGTCTACCCTCCACAATTTGGACTCCGACTTGTGCGCCTATTCCCTGATCTTTGTGCGAGCAGGGAAATCTGGGATGCTGATCAGGGTTCCATGAGCATGAGTACTGAATCTCTTTTCTCCACTATGGAGTGGGGTGATTTGTGGGAGGAAGCCAAAGCAGTTGATGTCCTCATCTATCTTCGTGGCAATCTACATTTGGACCTGGGTCCATGGCGGGAGCTCTTCCCTGCCAGCCTGTAGGTGAGACTTCAGCGGTGACCAATTTGCTTTTGGCACTTTGCAATGCAATTAGGCACATATGTGGCTAGCATTGACCCTACATGCTTGTAGCCATATAGCCCTTCTGAGCAAAAAGGCTGACCCTGCCTCATCAGGCAGCAGTCCTTGTTTTTTGACATTGATATCACATACCATAGAGGTTTCAGGTCATGTTTAGATCATTTTAGATCATTTTAAGAGGAAACCACCCGCACAAAATAATACGTGCTGATTACGTGCTGAATACGTAAAGTGTACGTATTTTGTACGCGCCCCAAAGTGTACCCGTACAAGGGGCGTACTTTTCCGAACAAGGGGCGTACTTTTCCGTACAAAAATACGTACAAAATGCGTATTTTCAGTTGTTTTGGAGCTTCTGGGTTTTGAGCCAGTTTGGAGGATTTTGTAGCCTTCTTATGAGTTTCCATGTGCCTGTCCTCCAGCGCAGTGGCTCCACTCCAAAGGTGCCTGCAAAGCAGTGCTAGGTCTTAACATTTTGCTAGGAACATGGGGCCTAAGCCTAGATCCTTACCTTCCCGCCAATGGAGCTGTTCTGAGTTGGGGGATTCAAACATGAGAATGCTGGCTGTAAAGAAAGAAGCTGAAAAGGAAGATGAACTTCAACGCCAAATTGAGGAGACATATGATTTGTTGTTTGTTTTCTGGATTGATGTAAGCTGGACCAAGTTGATCAACATGTTCTTTGTACATTGGTTGTGTTGGTATGGGGGTCCATGTCTAGGAGTATGAAGCCCAGATCCAAGCGCTGAAAGAAAAACAGGCTGTGGTTACCTGACTGCATTACACCTTTGCCAAGACAAGGTTCGTGTTGTTAGTCATAGTGCCCCCTCTTGACTCGCACGGGTGCACTGAAGGCTGCAGAAATGGACACCCAGCCTGCTACTAGACCGCACATGGTGTTTGTGAACTGAATGGTGTACACTGGCTGTTTGTGTTTCATGTGTTTGAGGCAACAGAAGATGAAGTGAAGAGGTCTAAGGGGAAAAGTGTCACCACCCCTTGGACAGCTGCCAAAGCAGCACCCAAGCCGAAGAGCAAAGCAAAGGGTGAGACTCCTGGGGAGACCCCGGTAAAGGAGAACAAGCGGTGCTCCAAGCCACCACCTGAATCCACCCCTGAAAATGGTGATGTTCCCTCACCAGCCCAACCTGGGAGAAAACGTGTTCGGGGGAAGAAGGAAGATGTAGAGGACCCGAATGGCCAAGTGAAGACCTTGAAAGAGGCCAGGAACATGTGAACAACATGTGAAACACATAGATTTCTGTGTTTTATATTTTTACTTCATCATTGACCAGGCCAATGAAAAGATGAGGGCAAAGCTAGCAGCTCTACAGGTGCAGTTGAACAAAAAAGACAAAGTGACCCCAACTACAACGCCGAAGACCCGTCCGGCACCCCGTTCCAGTGCCTCTACCACAGCATCCACGTCGGCTCCGCCTGACGAGCAGGACTCTGATGCTGAGACAGACACCCAACCGAGTGAGGCGGCCAAGAGAAACCGCCTCAGGAGGCTTTGTGAGAGAAAGCCGAGTGGAAAGTTGAATGTTCCTGAAGCCATCCACCTCAAGTGGAAAGCAGGGGGTCAAGAGAGGAAGGAATTGGAAGACTTACTTGAAGCCGCTGACTTTGACAAGGCCTCATTTGTTTAGAATGCATGCTTGTTTTCTGGGTAATGTGGGTCCACTAGAAGTCCATGCTGCACGTGAGGACCAATTCATCCAGAGGGTGACCAAGAAACGGGAGAAGGTTGCCAAGAGTTCTGCCAGGGTTCGCCGAGGTTGGTACACAAAAGAAACCATGGCAACCGTCTTGAAATGGAGCAAGCCACTAAGCTAAATGATGGTTGTATTTTTTCTGAGTAGGCTTCATGTTAGGGTGTTGCCACCCTGGCTGACCAAGTCTTTGCCCTTAGCCCAGGAGTTACATTGCCAATGTGGTGAAGTATTGCGAGAAGAAAGGCAATGAACATTTGCGGAAGAGTCTTGGTGGGTCGTGGCATGAACTCCTCATCTGATTTGGTATGGAGTGTCCATGCTTTGAACTCAAACTGAAAGATTACCTTCATGTCAAAAAGGTTTTCTGCCTTTGTTGAGGAGGGACAAGTACAACAAGCAGCTTTGGAAATACTATGTGGAGTATGAAGAAGGTAATGAAAGCATGGATGAGGAGATTGAGCGTGAGATTGAAGAAGAACAAGTGGTACTAGACTTATTTCCAGCCACCCCTAACTAATGCTGAACACCTCGCACAGTGTGCTCCCAAGGCTGGCGGGCCTGTCAAGCTGACCCAGCTTGGCAAGACCAGGCGTGCTCTTGACCTGGCTGCTGCAGCAGCTGACGATTCTGGGGCATCGGATGGGGAACCAACTGTGGCCAATGACCCCAAAGAGGACCACACAAAGCTGAACTTCTTCTGTGTTCCTCTTTGTAATGCCTTTTTGACACCTTTTCCCACAGGAGTACAACAACTTCAAGAAGTTTGCTGACTCTCTCTTGGCAAAGTCTGGAAAACTAACAGACTTGATCACTCAAATTGAGATGGTTGTGAGTTCAAAGTCCGATGACAGCCCTGAACGTACGAGGGCCAACAAGCCCCAACCTTATTGTTGCAAGAGTTATGCATGTTTGTTTGCATTTGTGCGCCTGGCCTCTCGTGGCCCAGGTCGATTGTGAACCTTGACAAAGCCGTGGACATCCTGGCGGAGCACTATGAGATGTGTGAGGGTGTGAAGGCAGAGGTTGCAGGGCTTGCTTCCAAGAAAGCCCTTGATGCGGAGACGAAGAAAGAGTAGGAAACCTATTTCTCTCCATGGGCCTCTGTTCAAAGAAATAAACACATGCTATGTTTCCCAGCTCTGAGGCTCTTGGCAAAGGTTGATTCCCAAATGAAGAAGACCAATGCTGCGTCCCTTCTCTAGATTGGCTTTGCCTTCATGGGAGTATCACACACGTTTGATGTAGACTTTTGGGAACCTGGAAAACCTGAGGTGTACAAAGGTTACTTCTACAGAGGCCTTGGCGAGGCCCCATAGTTGCAAATCGTTTTTCCAATGTGGCAAATCTCCGTCTTTGAAGGCAACCCCTCGACCCACTCCCCAATCCGAGGAACATGCTCAAAAGCTTGAAGGCAGCAAGGAGTGAGTGAATTTTAACTTTGGAGATGAATTTGGGAGAACGTGCATAACACGTTCATTTTGTCGGAACTTCAACAGCTCTTAGCTCTTGAGCCATTGTTGAAGACTGGGGTTTCACATCTCCTGGGGATAGAACCTGCTTCAAGGAAAGTCGACAAAAAAGGCGTTTGGCATTAGCTAGAAAACCTTGCACCAAAAGGGCTGGTTTTGTTTTTGTGTTTTGCCAGGTCAGTGCCTGCGCAATGACCGCGTGGACACGTCGAGCAATGTCCTCCGCAATTGTGCCAAGCTGATTGGAAATGGAGCTGGGGGCCCAAAGTTCTGCCAGCAAGGTGGTGCACTTGAACTCTGGCACTGCATGAACGCATGGGGGTTCCTCATTGCCATTGGCTTTAGGTTTGCACGCAGGCATTATGAGCACATCCTATGCAATCAAACATGGAGGTACATCATGCCAGTGTGTGATCTTTTTTGGCAACCTCCACCCGAGTGCCATGGATGATTGGTTTGGAGAACTTCTGCACTTTCAACTGGAGACTCCCAAACGGAAAAGATGTGATGAACCTCCATCCTCCGAGAAAAAAAACAAGTGTCTTGCTTGCAACTGAAACCATCTTTGAGTGGAATGCCTTGCAACCCTTCAAGTTCCAGAACCCACGTGCATGTTAGGCTGGAGACGCCACTACCTGTTGAGAAGGCTAGCTTGGAGTTCATGGACTACTTTACCAGGGGTGAGGACCAGCAAATGGGTGTTGTCAAGTCTCCCGCGGTCCTTGGAGAGCGGCCCATCACGAAGAACTATGAAGCTTCAACTAGCTAGTAGGTTTTGTTCTGGTTGGTTCTTTCTTCTGTTTTGGCAGTGGAACATTCTTGCAAACTGACCCTCCCATAGCCTAGGAAGAATCTCTCCAATTGGACATCCAGCACTTGATGACTGTGGCCAATGCATTTGACCCGCATAAGTTTCAGTGGGCTGAGCTTAGGCCATACAACCTGTTCCATCGGTGTCATGCCCAAAACAATGTCACGTGTGGTAAACTGTTGCTGCATGCAAAGGAGCAGGTTGTTAGCCTAAGAGAAAAAATGGGTTTGAGGGTCTGCATATTCAAAGTGGGGGTCACCAGCAACCCCCCTTTACGTTTTTGTGAATACAAGAAGAAGCACTACTCACACATGTATGTCATTTGTGAATCACCAAGTGTGGACAAAGTTCACATGTTAGAAGCAGCCCTGATCAGCGAGTTTCACAAACACATCGGCTGTAGGAACAAGCCGGACAGTGGGGGGGAAGGAGCGCTTAACAGGACCAATATTGGTCCTGTCAAGCCTCCTTATTTTGTGTATGTTGTAGCAGGTCGCGCAGACCAATGTCGACGTGTAGGGTAGGCACGTGAGCAAAACTGGTGTTATGCACTGCTCCTTTGTGTTCCATGATTGAAGTTCCACTCTTGCTTCCAACTCCTCCCAAATCATCTTGGGTTTTCTCTCTTGCCTGGGTCGCCGAGGCCCCAGCTTCACACATCGTGGAGCTCGCCAAAGCTGAAGTGGCTGACAATGCCAACCCCAGTCGGGCAATGGTTGACTTTGCCAAGATTCCCCTAGAGCATGCTGAAGAGGGCTGCCATGAAGTGTTCTTGAAATATGGCTTTGCAGCTCCAATCGAGATTGAAAAGTTAAATCTTGGTTTGGGGAGCCTTTCCCAATTTCCTTTCTTGAAATTCAGCAGCTGGGCGCAGTTTCTGCTAGATCGGGGACAAGTGCCCATGCAAATGTGTGGGTGCAAGAATCTTAGAGCCATGAGAGATGTCCTTGGTGAGTTCTGGAAGAGATACAAAGCTTTGCATCCAAACCACCAACTCTTCCAGATTGTGCAGGGTGATGATGAGCGTCTGCGAAGGACGATCCCTGTCTATTCACACACTGATGAGGGCAGGACATACAAGCATGAAGCACTATTTGTGCTCAGCACCCATTCATGTTTGGGAAGGGGCACGTCCAGCTATGTGCTCAAGGGGAAGCACGCCTTGCCTTTGAGACGAAGAGGGCTGGGTTTGAACTTCATAGGTTCGACTTGGAGCACTCACTTCCTTTCTGCAGTCCTCTTACATGAGGTGGAGAAGGAGAATCCAGGTGTCCTGGCAGGTATAGTGGCTGCCTATGCACAAGACATGTCATCCCTAGCCACACATGGCCTGTCGTTGGATTCAGATGGTGATGCAAATGAGCGAATCTATTTCCAGCATGTGGGCACAAAGGGCGACTTGCCTGCTCTTGCGAAGCTTGGCTCTTTCAAAAGAACCCACTCCCATGTAGCGCGACAGCCACAGAGCAGGACACCATGCCAAGGAATATGCTATTTGTGCCTGGCAGGTCAAGAGCAGTCAGCAGATGGACGCCAACCATCCATCCCATGGGAAGACACAGCGTTGAACCCTGCATGGGCTGCGACAGTCGATCAGGTGTTGCCATGGGATGGACGTGCAGAGCCTGTGATCCTTCGAGGCCTGCCCATTGATCCAACCAGGAAGGCTAGGTTCTTCTTGACTGACATCTGGCACAACTTCCACCTTGGATTGTCGAAGCACTTCTGGGCATCAAGTGTGGTTTCCTTGATTGAGCGGCTTCCCTTGCTGCAGGCCATGACCATTGAGGCAGCGATCAAGCATCTGAGCGATGACTACTCTCGCTTCTGGAAGCAAAGGAAGATGAATCCACTTGAGAAAGAGATCAACAGGGAGGTGTTGTCCTGGCCATATGGCCGTGTATGCCCAGTTGGCAAGTGGAGCAAAGGCAGTACGGCCACAGCCTTTATGCAGTGGCTTGAGGACTTCTGCACCAGATGTGTGGTGCATCAGGCTCATGATGAGCTTCTTCTCATTGTTGAGCCATGTCATTAACAAACACCTTTTCTTTTTGGGAATTGTGGTCTGTCAACTCCAAGGTTTTGATGTTTAACTGTTTACAAGCGTTTTTTGGAACAAGTCAGGCCAAGAGCTGCAGCTCGATCAATGCTGCCATTGCCTTCTGGTATTCCTCAGGCTTTTGGATCAGGAGTCGGCAAGGGCTGCAAAGTGGCAGGTTGGTCATGCAGTTTGTGCAGGGGTATGCACGCTGTGCCAGAATCTGCTTGGATGCAGGCACCAGCCGATTTGCTTTGGTTCCCAAGTTGCACATGGTTCACCACTGTGGGTGGCGCCTGATGTCGGAGGCCCAAAGAGCTGACTGGTGCATTTCACCAATTGCTGAGAGCAATCAGCAAGAAGAAGACTATATTGGAAAGCCTTCAAGGCTCAGCAGGCGAGTTGATCCTAGGTTGTTGCACTTGAGGAGCGTTCAAAGATCGCTCATCAGTGCGATGGGGGCTTTGGAAAGTTCACAAAGTGATACCCGTGGACTACAAGTCACTTAGATCTTGGGGTGTTTGGGTTCAAGACCGAACCGGATGCTTGAAATGGGGTGTGAAAGAAAGGATTTGCGTGCAGATCACTCTTTCTGGCATGTTTCCTTGAGCAGGCTGCAAGCATAGACTGGCCAACACTTGGCCAACAGATCCAGTTGTTGATTGTAAGTATAAATCATTGAACAGTGTTGTTGTTTCTTGAAGACACCAAAACATGAGAAAACCCTGGAGGGGCGTACTTTTTTGACAAGGGCGTACTTTTCTGCAAGGTCCAAATTCCACTCTGAAATCTTGCCTTGTTACATTTCTGAAGGACAAGTGAGATGTAGGTATAACATTATATAACCGGCTAAATCTTTGATCGTCCATGTTCATCAATTTTTATGAGTTTCATTGGAGTCAAGAACTCCACCGCCCACTCCCTCGGCCACACCGTCCAATCCCTCTACTTGGCCCCGGGGCGTGACGTGACAGTACACCGGGTTTGGCAGGCCCTGGCAGTACGGGAATGGTGCGGATGAATCGTTTCCGGATTTGGTGTAAGCAACAAATCATCGCCCAAACACTCCATGGGACTGCCATCTATGCCAATTAACCCCCAGTCCACCACCCCAACTGATCGGCAGTCCTATGGCACTCCCAAACAGGTCGTGTCCGGGTTATCGACGCATCCGGGAGATCCGGGTCTCGGCGGGGTGGGTCTCGGTTCGTTGCAGGAAGCTTCTTAAGCAGCGGTCAGACCTGAAACGAACCGAAAACGGCCCGATGGTCACTTGACAGGCCGTGTAACTTAGGGGGTCCATCTGGAACAGGAAGTTTGCCCTTCGATGGGCCAAGGTTTTTGGGCCACGGACAACTTTTCTCTCTCTCTCTCTCTCTCTGCCTCCCTCCCTTTCGCACTGTACGAACTAAATGATATATATCTCACCAAAACAAGGTGTCTTGTGCCTTGGGGTTACCTCCAATCAACCCTAATGAGGAATCACGCCAACATGCCTGCTTCCGCTGAGCAGGCGTCTTTCCCTTCAAAGCCCGGATCATCATCTCCAGCGTGGACGGTGGGAACACCAAACCTCACTCAAAGAAGGTTCCGTTTGGTCGTTCGGTTGACCACTCATGGACAGCCGGTGTCAGACTGAGCCCATGTGGATTTGAGTTGTCAGAAAACTGGACTATCATTGCCCTATCGTCGCTTCCTGAGCACCATTGGCTTTTCAAGAGAAGAACTTTTAAAGGAAGCGAAAGGAGACCAACGTGACCCTTCCCAAGACACGAGGTTTTTGTCTTTGAGGCCTCAAGAGCTATTGGAGTAACAGGCAAAACCTTCCCTACACGCCGCAAATTCCGCATCTATCCTCTGGGAACAAAAACAGTATATACATTATATAACAACTTGCGCATGGTAAAACATACTGGAAGTTGTAACACGTTTCTTGGTGACTGTCCTCTCCACAATGCCCAGGAGCAGTTCCCGATCCGTTCCAGTTCGTCCAGCAAAGGCGGTCCTGCCACAACACATTCAGCTGGCAAGTTGGCACTGAAACTGCTCGAACAAGAAAACTGGTTCCACAAATCATCTGCACAGTCGTCTGCCACTCAGCCTGTCTTCCAGCCGGCGGCACACTCCCCCCTACCCACTCCAACAAAAAGTCTTGGCACCTGCTCGTTGATTGGCTGGATTGGTCGCTTCGAACCTATTTCATGATGACCACTGGCTACAAGTGGCAACCCCACCGATCGAATGTCAAGAGTTAACATTGGGTTGATCCAATTTGGTCCAAAGTGCTACAGTATCAGAAGTGGGATAGTTGCCACACGTTACCATCAGCCTTCTGAGACACCGGCTCTCCATCCGCTCTCCGCTCCCGGAGCGACAAGGGTCCTAAGAACTGCAAGGCTTCCTCGGTCATGACCGAGGTGGTGCCATGACTTTGGGCGGAGAAGAGGCAGGACTCCAAGAGCTTGTCCAACATGGAGAATGGTTTTAAAATGTTATATAGATGGATCCACAGATCCAAGAGTATGTTCGGAACTTTTCATCATGGATCATGACAGATCATCATGGATCATAGTGGATTGGATCAGAAGGCAAAGCAACTGCAGCATTCCGAAATTTGGACCCATTGGAGGCCTCAACAACTTATGGACTTATGGTTGGGTGTCCATCCAGCACCGGGGGAAGACTGGGTGGGGTGGGTCTAGGCCTGCACCACCAGGCCTAGAGCCACACACCCGGGTGTTCGGTCTTTTCAACCGCAATCGACCACATTTGGGGCACTATAGCTTCTGATCTGATCGCCATGTCCTCTTCTTCATTTAGTTTGTTTGAAGCACGCAAACCGACCATCACAAACCCCAATCCCAACAGGATGACCTGAAAATTCACATTGTGATTCACTTCACTCGGTCTGAGTCGGTCTGAGTCTCGCCGTTCACGGTCTGGGTCGGTCGGGTTCTCTCCGCTCCCGCTCCACGCTCCGCTCCCGTCTCTCGCCCAGCTGCAGGTCGTGTGAGCGTTGTGTTCTTCAGTCTTTGCCGCTTCCACGGCGGCGCGCCCAACCAGCCTCAGCTCGCGGGGCGGAAGAAGCGAGCGCGAGCATGGCAGGGAGGAGGATGGGGAGGAGGATGACAGGAAGGCCAGGCTTGCTTGAGATGTCCTACTTTACTACAAGCTGCAACAGGTATAATATATATAGTAGTTACAAGCTCAAAACCCCCATCAACATCATCAACCACCTTTGAAGTGGAGGGTTCCACAACGGAAGCCTCTGTCATTCCAAACCTCCAAACCGTGGCTGGAAGATGCTGAAGCGACCAGCGAGTGCTCGGCGCTCCTCGTCATGCAGGTTCCCCCCCCCCCCCACAGCTGCAGCGACCAAACACATCGGTATAGCAGTAACCTATGTTACGAGTAGTAGGTATACAGTAGGTTGAAAAATATAGGTATACCTATACTGCGATGTTAGGGGAGTGAACATTGGTATAGCAGCATTATATGGTGTTTCAGGGTCTCCAACGTGCAAACCCTTCCACTATTGACACTCCTTGGATAGTTGGAGCTTTGTATGGTTGGACCACCGTTGCGGCCACCGGCGGCCAAAGAGAACACTCGACAGCTGCTGCTGCCGAGCTTCAGCCGTAGCAAATGCTGTGAGTCTTCACCACCAAGCCTTCCTGCACCCGGACCCAGGCAGCTGAAGAATACCGAACCCTTCCGAACCCCCTGCCCCCCAAAAAAGAACAGAACATGCTTGCGTGCCAAAAGCATGGTTTAACCTTGTTGAGTGACAAAGGACATGATATTTGATCTACCTCCAGAATGGTTATAGATCTTGCAAACGACATCTGAGTGGCTGCATGTCAGTTGCCATACACACTCCAGGAAAATTGAGCCAAGAATTCTTGTCGAGGGGTGGAGCGTTCTCGCTGCTTCCCCACCCCATCGTTGTCGCTGCTTCACTCCCCACACACCAAGGGACACCACCAGCGCTGCTCAGCCGCTCCTGGTTCACCATCTGCGGCTTCCCTTCGACGCCGCCCACGTGTGGCAAGACATTGGCCCAACCCGGATCTTCGAAGCCGCACGCTTGGCCCGAGGAGCCTCGGCAAGGAAACACATCGGGTTGTTGGTAGGAGCACAATCCAGGAGTCACATGGAGGGCCTGGGTGGTGTGGCTCGTCCCCAGTGGAGTAGCTGGGCACCCTTACTCTCCATGGATAGCACCCCAACTCCATGGAACTGCTGGATGTTCATTCTTTCATGCCCGACTCGAGCTGGCCTGTAGCTCAGGGAATCAGTAGAACCCCAGCGGGGAAAATCCGAAACCGCCATGGCCTCGGCGAAACTTGGCTGAGGCCATGCATATTGCCAGGCCACGCTCCAGCAAGAATCTTAACCAAGTGGATCCACCTCAAAACGGCTCGCGACGGCGAGCCGCCCATGGGGAACGACAAGAAAACCCTCCGACCCTAAACCCAAGGGTTGTGTATATTTGTCTCCTGAAAGCTCTGGGGAGTAGGATGTCTATCCATTTGTGTACGTGGTAACTATGACCTTAGGACTTTATATGGTAATGGCATGGTACAGGACGACCAATAAGCTGTCTACCTAGTCTACCTGTAGGTCTTATTCTTATGTTCACATATGTTCATTCAAACAATTATGGAAATGTATGGAAGTGGAAAGCCCCAGGAGGCCTTTGTTGACTTACACGGAGAGAGAGAGAGAGAGAGAGCGGGAGGGTCGCAGTCAGCCAGCTTCCAGGACACTCGCCCTGCCCATACTTCTTAAATGGGAGCCTTTCGAACTGCGAGCCCATTTACAAACTGAGGCGCGGAGTAGCAAGTCGGGGCTGTAGAATATACGTTGTGTACTAAGTCTCAGCTCATCGTGGCCTTCTTGGCTTGCTAGACAAAATAATTACTGCCACTATATGATTGCTACAATCTGACACTGTAAAGCAGCCCTTGCAAACAAAGATTGAACAATATGATAATATGAGCTGCCCTTTTTGAGCAAAGCATCGTGCCCTGGATGGCCCACAAGAGTACCACTCTATAATCATCTCCCAGCGCCTTCCCCTCTACGGCCCGTTTTCGCTGGGGTGCAAAGACCTCCGTGAGCGGACTGTTTCGGTGGGACGTTTCGTGGTGACCACCTTGCTCACCGTTCGTATATATGGCCACAAGCCTCAGGCCGGCATTGGATGTAGCGCGGTATTGCCATTGGAACATGGCTGGTCTATGGCTGTGGCCACTCTTCAATCGGCCAAGCTCCAGTCGTTGTCCCGAACCCCTGGACTCTGCGCTGCACAGCGCAGAGTGGCCCGCACGAGGTCCGCGCGGGAGCCGTCTGAGCCGACCGAGCCGGTCCGCCGGATCGAACCATCCGAGCTCCAAGGCGCTCCGCGGGTGCGAGGCCAGCGCCGTGCGCAGCGGCGGGTGCACGGAGGAGCGATAGGGAGGCAAAGGGCCTCGGGAGCCATGGGGCGGCCGCGCTTAGCGCTGTTTCGATGAATCAATGTGCTGGGTCCTGGGTCCTGCGCCAGGTGTGTCTCAAAAAGAGGTATATAGACCTCATCCCAGTTCGACCTCCCGAATGAAAACATCCTCAAACTAGATGGGTTTTCCTCTGGTTTCCTGTTCCCTGAAGTCCGGGAAAGGAAGGTGCTCGTCTGAAAGTATTCAATTATCCTCGGCGACCCTCTCAGCCACCCTCCTGAGTTGGCCCCCCTTCTGAGTTGACCATCTATTGGAGGATTGCTTTGAGTACGGGGATGTTTTTCAAGGGCTTCTCATGCGCTTGTCTTCGGACTCAATGACTCCTGGGGGGTTGGTGGCATCAATGGGATCCAAGGATGTCAACAGGTCTTCCCTCGGCTTTCACCCAGTCTTCCCTCGGCCCCAAAATCGGGGTCCCTGACATCCACTCTCCTCCTGGGCTGTCTGCGACTGACGGTCTGCATCTGCACGGACCGCGTGTCTGACGTGTCACCTCCTATAGAATCAACGTTCCCATGCCATTTCACTCGATCCCTGGACAAAAAGGTTCACCGAACGAACGAACTTGACCCCTGAAGTGGAGTGGGGAACGGCAGTCTCCCAAAAAGGATTTTGCAGGTGATCCACGTACTTCCTGAGGAATATGTCTGATTTAGTTATACATGGAGCATCTTGGAATTGGATCTGCCTCCTGCTTTTCCTTGGTGGGCATGCCTTGATCTGGTGATTCCCTGGTGAAGGCAGAGCCTGCTCGAAAACGCGCTCCTGTGCGGCTGGCTTGCGTAGCCCTGCGAATCAAACAGCAAGCAAAGAGAGGTTGGAGGTTATCACTTCCATCTACTTCCAAAACTCTTGAGTTTCAGGATGCTTCAGGAGAGCAGTCATTGACACTGAGATGAGCGAACAAAAGCTGATCGTGCGGCCATAGCACTCATTGCCTGAGCCTAGACTCTAAAAAGACAATTCGGCTGGGAGTAGGTGAGCGTGGCCCAGTTACTTCAAACATTTGAGAATTACGGTGTTTTGCCCCACCGCCGTTTGAGAGATTATATATTTATAATGCATTTTGCGGGTCCAAGACCCTAAAATTACCTGTCACCAGGCATCTGTGTCCAATATCGAAACCAATGGAGCCACTGCATTCAGAGAAGCAAAACACTTTTTTAGTGCAGGAGCCTGCTGCACCACATAGGACCCGCCGGGTTTATCCTTCCTTCCGCCCCTTGCCCACAAACTCATAGAAATGCCTACTGTTGGAGGGCTGTGGGATTCCGGCTCCTTGAACCACAACAAGCAGTACGGGAATTTAAAAGAACTGCCCGTGGAATCCCACGATGTGTTCATAAGAATTGGTGCAAAACGTCTTAAGGAGGTGTCCTCAAACTTTACCGTTGAAGACATAATGATCCAAATAAATTCTTGTGGTCTATTTTCCTTTTGGTCGTCGGAACTGGGAGGACTCCCTACTTTCATTCAGATTCCATTTACAGTACATACATTGACCCATATGGACCCCCTGAAATCAATCAATCCACCACCCCAACGCCAGTCATGGCGTTGTATGCCTGCCAGTCCCCTGATCTCATACCCGGGAGCTCCGTACGTCTCGTCTCTCTGAGATGCCGCACCGGGCGGCATCGCCGGTCACGTGGCGACGGCGACCGTCACATGGCGAGGGACAAAAGGTGCCAGGATCGATGCGCAAAGTGACGTGATGTAATGTTTGGAAGTCGTTTCCTGATGGACCTCAATGGTAGTTTTTATCTGTATAGATAGGTTTATTAAATGAGATTAGAATATATTAGATATGTGTCTTTTCCCTCTCTACCTCCGTTGCCTTCCGTCAAGTTGAATTGAGTTGACTCAATCCAAGTACTTGCTTCGGCTGAATGCAACTTGTTCGAGTCTGAAAAACATGTTGCAATATGTTGCAATGCATGTCGAACCCGTGTCAAATACACTCTAAGCAAAACTAACAGCATGCAGTATAGATGTCAATTGAACCTGAGCCAAAAACGCTCAAAGGACTCAATCTATTGTAATGAATTAATTAATCCAGCACTAAGTTTCAGCGCAGCAGGATGATCCAGTTTAGCCGAGCAACAAAACATGGAAGGAGCAACTTTGGTAACCTATATAAACCATTAAAAACATGCAACTGCGGCAAAGCCAAGTCGTTTTTGCACTGCCAAGCTCCGCTTCATCGCGAGCTTCATCCCAGGACATGGTGAGAGTGCGTGTCGCTTCGTGAGACAAGCGTTGAATATATTTTTTAGCTTTTGGATCGTTGTGAAAATGCGCCGTCATCGGGCTGTCATCCTGAAGGCCGACAGACTCTGCTCACCATCACCCTACACTATGCGAACCATATCGAGCATGGGCTGATAAAATCGTGGGACATTGCCCTGGAGTCAAAAAATTATGCATGTCATTGAATTTGGCACAAAGTGCTCTGTGGCTGAATTTGGCTCATGATGAATCTGCCCAAGTTGCAGCGTCAGCATAGTGGACACAATCACTGCAGCATTGAAACAAGACTTGTAAATCCTTGTGGTTGATCATGAGCCACTGACCCAGACATGTCTAAGCCCGCCGCAACAAACTGATGGAAAAAAGACTTGCTTCAGGGCGGTCGCGGCATCAAAAGCTCCCGAAACCTCAAATTTGGCTCACAGCCTTGAGGCAACTTACTTTCACCAGTCTGAGCAGTCTGTCCTGCATTGTGCTACTGGCTACTGTCCAAATTCCAGAACGACTACTAATATCCACTAGCAAGTGCCCTGCATCTCAGATATAGATACACTGATACATTGGGTCTATCCTATTACCTGTAACAGTGGATGATGATTGTTAGTAAAGGCCTTGTGCAAAAATGATCAAAAATGATGATAATTGTTTACTGACTGTTACAGGTAATAGCACAGACCCAACTGATACACGTGTCATCACATGTCCATAATATACATCATAGTATACAGAAGCTGTTCATGTCTTCTATGATGGGTCTTTTATTGGATGATGATTTGCCAATGTTTACACTGGCAAAACACTTCAACAGACAGTTCAATGTTTTCAGTTTAATTTAAATTCACCAATTGACCCAACTACTAGCCATGTGCATCATTCAAGAACTTGTCCTCTCATCCCCCCAGTGAGGAAAAAGAACACACACAGAACATGCTAGTTGCTAGTTGAAACCACGCGGCTTGTGAATAGGAAGGTTTTGTGAGAAGAAATGAGTGTCCCTTGGATCGACGATCAAACTTCCTTGTCGCGGCGCAAGACGGTCAATTGGTCCACCAAGCGAGAGCGGACGGCATGATTTACAACGTCAAAGCCCGTGGTGTTGAGGATGATTCTCTTGATCAAGTCCTGTCGACGAATGTCACGCAGCACGTACAGGGCATCAAATTGGCATCAAACTGAGAATCTACGCCTTGGCAGCTGATGGAAAACTGCTGATTCAATCCAAACTCATTGCGCCATATTGCGCCTCATCTGCCAGAGATCCAGCTTTGGCGCGTCGAACGTCCAATTCGTGCACGCCTTGCGTTAAAAGATCAATCCTAGGCGGCGGGACAACACCAGGGAGGTGTCAATCTGGATCAATTCTCCATGCAGTGCCATGCAGTTCTCTTTTGACAGTCTTTGGATGGCCATTTACGTTACAGGTTTCTTCTTTCGAAACTGCTTTGTGTTTGAAAAGCGTGGAACACTTCAAGAAACCCAAACATGAAGGAATCCAAGGAACAATGTTTTATGATTACCGGATACTGTCTGGGGTCTGCCTTGATCACCGTCATTTCATGATGTGAGGATTCCCCCAAAGACGCCCTCCAGCTGGGTCTGGTTCCCTACGGCCTAGTGCTGGATGAAAAACTACAGAACGCCGGATGCTTGGCGAAAGAACACCAATTGATGGACAACAAAATGCAAAGGTGCTGACAAGGGAGTTGGTAGTTTGAACAATCTTGAACCCTCATCTATCCCAGACACTCCATGTATGGTATATTTACCTACATTGGGGTGGTTTTGGGGGTCAAGGTAGGCATATATGGCAGTCCCATGGAGTGTCTGGGTATTGAAAAGCACATCACTGCCAGCAGGTCCGTGCCACGGCAAACAGCTCCGGGTCCGAGCAAATCATGGCAAGCCACCCGCCACAACGCATGGTCTCTTGGAAGAAGTTCTCGGCTGTTCTGGGGAGGATGATCTCCATTGGTATGTCTTGTGCAATGCTGACCTCAAACACATTCAAGGTAGACGTGATGATGGGCTCTGACCCTTTTCAACTCATGTATATATAGACAATCTTTGTGTATCCTTTTGTCGCGACAATACAGCTATAAAGAATAGCCGCTGACGGCGCATTGTCATAACTTTCCGTCTCCCAAACCCTCGCACACACACAAACATTACCCCTCTGTGGCGTGGTGAAACAGGGGCCGGCTGCCCCTCCGAGCGACGTAACTTTCGAAGATGCACCAGGCGCGGGTCACATAGGTCGGTTCCCTCGGCGAAGATTGCGGCGAAAAAGGGACGTGCCAAATTCTCTCTTCTCCCACGCTCTTTTGCAAGGAATCAGTTGCACAAAGTAACACTAATACGAATACCGTAATACCCTGTCATCAAAGGTCATCAAAGTAAGCTCCCGACAGAACGGTGTCCAGCAGCACCAGCATCCGGCCAGCTTCTACCAAATGCGATTCGAAGATCCCCCTCAAATCTTCACTGGGTGTCTGAATGGCCTCCAGAGGTGTCAAACACCGAGCAAACATCTAGACAAATTGATCATGTTTCACCAAGTCTTCCAATCTTCAACTGACATAGAATAAGATCAGCAAATTGATTACTAGTTCTGTGCATCCGGCGCCGCATATATATATATACCCTGGAAGTCAAAGACCATTAAACAAAATGTTCATCTGGTTTTGTAGTGTAAGCCCCTTAGTGAAACAATGGTTGTTCGGTAAAGGCTATTAAAACAATGGTGGTTCGACTTCTAGGGTATATATATATAATCTACTAACTTATTAGTCAAGCTGCCTGTACTTGATATATTAACACTATATCCAAAACATTCCAAAACTGTGGAGGTCGGCCGGAACCCAGAAACGATGACCAATACAAAGGTACCACATTAATCTAGGACAACAGTTAACACATAGTAGCTGCTGTGTCCGTTGCTTTAAACATACGGAGGATACACTACAACTTTCCGGATTCCAACTTTCGCTCAAATTTGAGGGGTGTTCGGTATGTCTTCCAAACTCCAGACACAAGACCGATCTGTTTAGGCTGATGACAACAAAACACGTTATTAAATTTGAAAACAAAACAAGATAAAACAAGTGATGAAGAGGAGAGTGGTCAAAGCCGCCTCCTGACCTTTTTCCCTGCCGGGGTGCCTCTTCTTTGATGCGATACTGGTTGTTGCAGAAAAAACACATCCACAGGAAAACGCTGAGTGGATCTTCACCGGACTTCTGCAGCCATCGTTCAATGGAGCTGACCACATCGTTTAAAGAATATGCCCAGCACCAAGAGACAAAGTGCGTTACTTTTTCTGAAGAGAGAGACATGCATGGTGGGATGCCACCTACAGCAAGAATCTGAAACAGTTTAGTTTATGACGCCTGTCATGTCTGTCACGATGGCCCAAGTTTCTATGATATAGAACAAATTGTACACATGAGATCACATGAGGGTCTGCCAAAACGTCTTGAAAGAAACGATAAGGACATGATTACAATTACAATATTGACAATATTCAACATGACTCATCAAGGTTATTGCTTTTGAGGGGCATGTCGCTTTTTCAGGCCACAGCCATATTTTCAGCACAGCTGAACATATCCAAAAATTGCTACGACAGGGTTCTCGCTCTTTTGGTGCCTTAAGCCAAGCCGGGCGTCCGCTGTGTGCATCGTCCAAAGCATCCACGATGCTGCAGCGAGGCCGACCGTCCCGGGGACATGTCTTGTCATAGCCCATGCCTTGTCAAAAGAACTTGTTGTGAAACATGGCCCCACTCAACTTGAAGCAGTGCGACATGTTACAGTGACAGCACCCCGAAATGCCCGCCCTTTAGCCATTCAAGCCTGGTTCGGAGACATCTATGACTCAACCAAGCACCTGTCAACGTCACGGACCCCTGAGACCTCGTGAGCCCTTCGTCCAGCCTTTGCTTTTCGCCTTTCTCAAGGCAAGAGGCCGTTCTCGCCGTGTGCCAAGAGTGGGCAAATGGCATAGAAATTCGGACTCTCATCAGCAGTTGCTCCTCGGTTTTCACTCCAGTGTTTTTATCTGGCCTCAATTGGAAAGCGGTCCTTTGCAACTTCCAAGTGGCTGCGAGCCAGAGGTGGAAAAATGTTGACCAAATATGCAGCTGCCACGCCCAATGTAGGCACTTCCGGCGGCAGCTCAGCACAAACGGGGCAAAGATGCACCTGTCAAACCAAGATCCAACAAGTTGCTGTTGAAAGCCAGCAGCGTGCTTGCCAATGCTCCTTCAAGATACAAAAAAGACCAATAATGCTGATTTTGTTGAGTTTGCATCATCTTGCTGAACAAATAACAACACATAGCTCCCTAGTTCCCTTCTGCTTTCCCTGAAGTCACATCTTTGCTGCTTGGGCACCTGGTGCTGCTGGCAGTTCCAATGGTTTTCAGCAGTGCAGGAACGTGCGCATAACCCGCATCCTTGGAGAAAAACACATCAACTGCATGTTGCCTCCTGCTTGGCACGTAGCCAAACTGATTTCAATTCGGTTGAATCATGTCGAATTACTTGATGATGATGACACTGCAACATTGAACTGAAAGTGATGATTCCGATGATTCACACGGTGACGAGGCTTGGAAAACGCTAGGTTTCGCAGCTGTGGCATCCCTCGACCCTTATGTACTCCTTATGTCAAGCATCTGTAGGGGCCAAAATCTGACGGCTTCATGTCATGGTGATTTTCAATGCAACATCTGGGAGTGCAAATCCACCTCAATCGGGCAAACTGTAATTACTTCAAATGTTTCAGGCTTGGACGCACTTCTTCTTCATGCGTTTGGAATCCAAACACTTTCAGCATGACTATATATCTGTTGCAATGCAATTCATGTCAATTGCTGCACCTGAAGTCTTGCCACGCTGGATGCGGATGCTGCGTCCTCCACTGCAGAATATTCCTCGGGCAATGTTGAATTGAGAGGTTGGACCCACAAACTCAGTGCTAAATGGCTACATGTGATCCATGCTTAAACCAAACATCAATCCAAAAACCCAGATCACTTCAGTCTTAAAGGAATTTCTCAAACAAGAAAAGCGATGGACAACGCTTTCTCTTGAATATCATTGACTGTTGTGAATTGTTTGGCCGATTGTGGGTTCGCTACAGAAATCATTTCGGATTTGACCAGCGTCCCGCGGATGCTCTCAACCTTCTGCACGGTGCCATCTTCCCAAACGAAGTGCCACCCATTTTCCAACTTGCAAAATTCATAGTGGCGACCACAAGCTTCAAAACCAGCTTCGGACACCTCCAAGCAAAGCTGTGTCAGGCGAGGCGATACATGTCTCGCCGATTTGATGCTGGACTTGTTTGATATTTCAGCCAAGACTTTACCCAAAGACACATCAATAGGTGAACTGATCCGAAACCAAAACATGTCCTCACTTCACACCACCATTCCCGCTACAAAACGTCGTAAGCCTTGCGTTTCGATCCCGTGGTTTGCCAATTTCCAGCTGCCACGATTTAACATCGAAAATGGTTGACCATTCAACACTCTCTCTATATCTATATATATATATAGATATGTGAATATTTAATATTTAGAGATAAACACAAACATACCAAAATGGATCAACATGGTAGAATGATCTGGGGTTGAGCTGCTACAAGCTTTTGCACTTTGCCCCGCGGCCACTCAGCAGTCATCCTGCAGGGAAAGCCAGCATCTTGGATCAAGAATTCAGTGCTGTGGAGATAAGCTGAAATGTCCAAACAAAACAAACATGTGTCTGGGTATGCTCTATAGATACCCTTCATGCTTCTGATCGCAGCTCTTTCAATGTTACATTGTACTGCTGTATTGGCAATTTCGATGGTGCATTGGTTGATTGGACCCTTTTTGGGTCAAGGAAAAACACAACTACTTCAATGATGAGAATCAGAACCCCATCCGTCCTGGAGCTCCAAGAGAAAAGGAGAGGTTTCAATGCCATCGACGGAGTCAAGGAAGGAAGTGCCGTCGGATTGGAGATGTGACATATGGGAAGCTCTGCTTGCGCTGCTCCTGAGAAAAAAACGCGTCCGTAAAACTGATGGGCAGTCCATGCGGCCAGGGCTTCCTCAGTCTCAGGCACCCAGCCTTTGGAGATTCATATTTGTTGGATAAATATTCCCCAAACAGGGAGGCCACACTAGGGGCATTTACGGTATTTATTAGATTATGACATCTTGTTAAACAAAATCAGCTGCTTTCCTAAATGTTGCTGCAACACAAAGACCTAAATGATGGCAGCTGCGCTGTCCAGTTTGGAACTGTGATGCAGCTGGTGCTGTCTTCCATGTTTGCACAACATTTCGGCGAATGGCAAGGGTCAATGTGGAAGATGTGGAATTCTACTTTTGAGCTCAGTGAACTCATTTCCATCAACCGTTTCTAAGCATCTGCTCGTCATAAAGCAACACCAGCAACAATTGCCTCTTGACCCTCTGGTGAATCCACACGTTCTCCGTTCGCTGTCGATGTCCAGGCTGTGCGAAGTCCCGCCTTGAAGCTTCCAATAGCAGCAGAAAATACCAAGGCTGGCGAACAAACAGGTCAGCGCAGCAAGCACTGCGACGATGGCCAACCTGCTCCAAATGGCTCAAATTGTGTTGCGCATGGTGCTATGTTGAGTAAATATTGACAAACTGTTTGGGCCAAAAGGCTTGTTTGTGGAATTTGCGAATGATGGCAGTTGACAACGCGTAGTTGGTGCTGAGCATTTGTTGTTGCTGTTGCTGTTGTGGTGGTTGTGTTTGGCGTTTGCTGTTTTTTGTTGTTGATGTTGTTGTTGTCGTTTTTCAACTCCTGCCAACAATAGTCTTTGGATGTCTTTGGTAAAATTGACAAGTGGCAATCCAGCGGGAATGTCCTCCGCTGCTGTCAACCCAGTGGAAAAGTCTTTGCCATCCTCTACCGAAGGGGTCAAAGTGCTTGATATCTGCGGTTTCTGCACGAGCTGCTCCAAACCCACTGTATCCAGAGTTGATGCTTGCCAATCCTCAGTATATAGCAAAGCTAAGAATTACTTATCATAAGCAATAAAACAAAACGACTCTGACATATCCACACCGTTCAATGATAGTCAATCTACACGTCAATCTAGTCACCTTTTAGAACGTTTTCCACAGTTTCATCTCTCCAAAGACACGTTCTTCGCAATTACAACGTCACATGCTTTGCCGAGCATCTACATCCGGCAACGGCCTCAGTGAGGCACTGTCACCAAATGATGCTGATGATGTCAACTTTTTCAGTATACTGGAAGAAACTACTCCTTGAAAAAAACACACCACATCTAAACAAACGCGATCTCTTTGTCGCCGTCTCTCATTGTTCCTCCGCAAACTTTCATCTGTTCCTCGAGCTTTCCGCATCAACCAACGACCGCTGTGTTTCACACGGCGCTTCACGGCTGGGCCCATGGCTGCGGAAGGCTATTCAACTACCCACAACACCAAGAACCGATCACCAGGTTGTTCTGAAGATTTCTGAAGCCTAGCAACTCGAAAAGGACAGCTGAACTTTCTGTGGCGGTTCTCGTTGATATAGTAGTAACGGACGTGGATCTGGACACAGTGCTGGTTGAGGTCGTGCTGCGGCTGGTCGAAGTCTTGCTGGTCACCGTGCTGGCGGCCTCCAACAGCGCTTCACTGTGCTAGGATGGTTTACCCCCAGCCCGCGGCACAAACAGCCCATTTGATAGCGTGCTCTAACCTGAACCTTGTGCACCCGAACCATGGCAAGTCACCGAACTCGACATGTTTCGCGTTAGCCGTCTGTCACTCTGCCACTGTCTATCCGTCTGGCGTGAAGTGAAGGCCGTGCTCCTATGTTGGTTCGAACCTGACAATAACAAATGCAGTAGTACAAAGAGAGAGAATGCTTTCAGCACTTAACTAATATATCCACGCAAATGCTGTGTGAGCCGTGAGCTGTGACTTTTTGTGCCTGGTCACTCATTGCTGTGTTGCTTTTTCATGTGTGTGCTTGCATTTTGCCTCTGTAGCAAACCTAGGTGACCCCTTAAAGCTGTGGTGATCCAAATGAAGCTCGGGATTTGCTTACGAACAATGAAACACATGAGAACTAATTGCAACACAAGTACGACCAATTATATATAATATGGGATTGACAATAGGACAAAACAAAAACTATAATACAAACAATAGGAAAACCAACGTAAAAGTGGAGTCCGGATTGTACTGCCTATGTTAGGTCCTAAATGTGTTCTTTGATGTTTCTATTGTTCCTATTTGTGTCTTATCGTCTTTGAGGATTCTACATGACTGTCTTTGAGGATTCTATATGACTTGTCAGACAAGCTTTGCAGTTTGGGTAACATTCAATACAACCAATAAGAATAAAAATAGGAACAGCAATATGTTCATGCAAAAGGAACAACAAGTGGATCACGGGATCCCTATTTGGTGTCTTCTTGATTGGCTCAAATTGTTCAGTTCTCACTATATAGTTTTACAGTTACAGTTACATAGTTTACTAGTTTGATCGCACCCAGTGGACACTTAACACCATCAACACAACCATAAAGTTTGATGGCCTTCACGAGTGTGGCGTTGCTCTAGGATAACAGGTTCGGTTCACTCATTGTAAAGCGTCTTTCCCAAGTCAATGGGTGTTCAAGTCCGAACATCTGCCCCTGGACTTCTGTGCCATGGCGAAACACAAGCGGCTACTGTATGGGCTATGTTCCTTGCTGTTCAAGCGGTGTGCTTTCAAGTTTGCTAGTACCCTGTAGAGTTTGCCACACGGAATGTGCCTGTGAGTGAGGGGCAAACTTCTGCATGCCCCCAATGTGCCAAAAGTACTTGGGTTGGTTCCTATCAGTTTCCAGCATCTTGGAATGCAAGCAATGATCCACTTTCAATCAAGGACTGCTTCCCTCAGTTTGACCATGAAGCAACGTGTGTACATTTGGTAGTGGCCGAGCGCTGCCACCCAATTCATTGGCTGTGGCAGTGGCATGGGCGACACCGTGATTTGCCACAGTGCTCAGAAATATTTTGTGGGCAGAATTGGCAGAATGCGTCATTCCATGATGGCACCATCGACGGCAATGACTTAGTTTCAGATCTCCGTTTTGAGATTGGTGGTATACAGTTCGTCCATGTTCTTGATTGGCCAAAAGACTGATTGTTTTCATCCTTCCTTCCACCTGCTTCTGACTCCCTTACTGGTACAACTAAGTTACTAAGGTCTGGAAAAGGACAACCATACAACATGGGTTCTCAATCGGCAATTTCTCTTGAACAGGTTCTTAGTCAAGTGTACGACTGAACCGACAACAACCTTCTCGAACCAAACAACGAGCCTGGAATTTCATCAGAAACACGTCAGAGCCACCCGCGTTGGTGTTTCCATCCAGGGAACTTCTTGTATCGCCCGCCACCCAAGCGTTCCCGGACGCATCGACCTGCGCTTTGGACTCAGCTGGACTCGTGGGGTCCCCAAGACGCGAATTGTTAAATGGACTCCCATGTGTTGCAGCAACATACAGGTCACGCCCCCACAATGTTAGAGCAACACCAAGTAACTAAGTACGTCAACTCAAGCAAAGTACCAGTGGCACTAGCCTATCTGAATCTTTTTCTCATGGCCTCATAACAACAACAACAACAACAACAACAACAACAACAACAACAACAACAA